TTTTATATAGTGAGTGCCTGGCCAGCCTGGGTGAGGGGCTGATGACTGTTTGCAGGCTGGCCACAGCCCCTTCAGAATAGGGGTTCCCCCCTGGGGTGCCTGGCCATCCTGGGTGAGGGGCTGATGGCTGTTTGCAGGCTGGCCACAGCCCCTTCAGGGTGGGGGGGTCCTGCTGGGGTGCCTGGCCAGCCTGGGTGAGGGGCTGATGGCTGTTTGCAGGCTGGCCACAACCCCCAGCCACCCAAGCTCCCATGGAGGCTGGCTGGAAGCAGGTATCTGGGATTTGTCTTCTATAATTGAAACTTTGTGGCCATGAGCAGAGGCCATAGCCTGCTCAGGGCAAGTGGGAAGCTTGGCTTCCTCCATTGCCCGGGCAACCAAGCCTCCTGCTTGCTCTAGGTCTGTGGCTGCCGGCCACCATCTTGGTTGGGTTAATTTGCATATAGTCGCTCTGATTGGGTGGTGGGCGTGGCTTGGGGCATAGCAAAGGTATGGTCAATTAGCATCTTTGTCTTTTATTAGTGTGTGTGTGTGTGTGTGTGTGTGTGTGTGTGTATGTGTGTGTATACTATTTCACCATGTCCTCAAAAATTCCATGAGATAAAACCATATATATATATATATGTATATTTATTTATTTACTTATTTTAAATTCTCACCTGAGGCTATGTTTTTTTATTGATTTTAGAGAGAAAAAGAGAGTGAGGGAGGGAGGGAGGGAAGGAAGGAGAGAGGGAGGGAAGGAAGGAGGGGGAGAGAGAGAGAGAGAGAGAGAGAGAGACAGACACCTGGGATTGAACCTGCAACCTAGGTATGTGCCCTGACCAGGAATCGAACCTGCCACCTTTTGGTATAGGGATGACACTCCAACCAACCAAATCACACTGGCCAGGGCATAAAACCATATTGTTAAAGGCAACACAATGAAGTTCAATTTGCCCAAGGTCTCCCCAACTTATCAAATGATAGAGCTGAAATTAAAAGACAATATCTGCTTTAAGCTAATGACATTAACTTCATTTAGTGCTTGCAAGTACAAACCTCTGGGATCAAATTGTAGTGATTATTAAGCTCTTGAACACATTAGAAGTTTTTTTGGGGAAAATAAAAATTTGTATCCTTGTTTAACAATGAGTGTGTCCTTCAGTCTAGGTGGGTTATAAGCTAGACTCCTAAATCACACAACAGTATATAAAGTCTGTTACCTGCACACCTGACAGCTAATTAAGATGATAAAAAAGAAATAAACCCTTCAGAATCTTGGATATTGAATTATCGTCACAGTCAATGGGCTTGAGGGACTTGACTTCAGCAATCATCAAAGCTTGATTAAGAAATGTCCTTTTGAAAGGATGGAGCTAAGGGATTAATGAATTGGCTGTTACTACTTCAGTTTTGATGTGTTTAAGTTGCAACCCTACATTTTAAGATCATTAGAACTGTAGTTTGGCTAGACCAGGTTAACTTTGGAAAACCACAGAAATGCTCTGTGACATCGTAACTTACTGTCATATCTTCTATGTAATTAGCAATTTATAGCCAACATTTGTCAAAGGGTTTCCATGTGTCAGGCATGGAGTAAGCCTTCCATATACATTATTTATTCAGTCCTTGTAAGAATCCTTTGAGGTAGGTATTATTATTATTCCTCCTTTACAGCTAAGGAAACTGAGGTTCAGAGAGATAACCCAGTATGTTTAAGGTTACAGAGCTGGAAGTGATGGGAGTGGCTCAAATCCATCTCCTTCAAGCATTCCAGGTACTGAAGCAATCGCCATGGTTCCTGTATTTTTTTTTTAATGAAATGGTCTTGCATGTTTAAAGAGATTAAAAGAAGGGTATTTCGTGACATGTGAATATTATATACAATTCAAATTTTAATGGCCATAAACAGTCTCACTGGAACCCAGACATGCCTGCCTGTTTATCTATTGTCCATAGTACCGTTGCACTACAGTGGCTGTGGAGTATCTGGGGAGCAGCCTGTAGGGCTCACAGATGAAAAAGTTTGCTGACCCCTGGTGTGGAGGGTAAGCTGAGTAAATGTTGGGAGAGGAGAGGATGGGGGCAGTGTAAGGGCAGACTGGAGGATGGATAGAGAAAATGAGATGAGTTGATGGTAAATCCTGGAAGACTTTGAACATCTGACTGGTATTAGAAAGTGGCTATGGAATTTAAAGCAGAGTAGTAAACATATTAAACTGAACTTTGGGGCAAATAAATGGGCGATGATTGGTTTGTGGTAACCAAAGGAAGTAATACAATATTGGAGCGGGTTGATTAGGAGACTGAAGTTCCTCAAATGGAAAACAAGAGATCCTAGTCTCTACTGGTTTAGGAGAGAGAGGAGAATTGATGAATCCAAGGTTATCTTAAAGAACGAATAAAGTGACTTTGATGAGTTATTAGGTAGATATTTGATACATAGAGATGCTACTCAAATCTACACTTAAAATTAAAATGGTAAATTTCATGTTACGTATATTTTACCACAATAAAAAGACAACACACACACACACTACAGTGAAATATTATACTCATGATGTATCTATTATCAATTTATCCATGCTAAGGATTATATATCTTGAGAATTATACACAATTTCAGACTTCAGATACATGTTAGAAAGATCCAGTATGTTGCTGCAGTTGGGAGAACATAGGACTTAATAAAAAACGACCAAGCCACACTGGGCCTGACATTCGGTTGATCTTGGGGAAACACTAACTCTGAACCAGGACCTGCATCTATGAAATGGGGATGATAAATACTCTAAACAAAAAAATTTTTTCTTTAATTCAGGAGTCTTATCTGAACAAAAGCACTAATCTTTTTATAGCACTCTATTATGCTACACAATAAACATACAATATAAACACTCAAAATATTTAGAAAATAATGTAACAGTAAGAAAAAATCACCCAAATGTTCCTGAAGCAGGCTAATTGGCATCCTGTTTCTCTGTTACACAATGGCTCATAACAGGAGTTGGAAAAAGTTAATATAGGCTATTTAGCAGTCCATCAATGAATAAAAACATTTTTATTTCACTGTGTATGCAAAAAATAATACAGGTCAAATATCTGTAAATTTTAAAGAAATTTAGTTGTTAAACAACAGTAAAAAACACTCAATAAGTATACTTACCAGCCCCGAAGAACTTTGAAAGAACATGGAGTGAATGAAGTCAAATCAGAAATTTCTTTGGTAAAATCTACACATTCACCTTGGAACCCTGGTTTACTGAATGCTTTGAGCTAAAAAACAAACACAACACAACAATTACACAGAAAACAACTGTTTGATATAACCACAAAAGCAAACTTTTAGTTTCATGGCCTTATAAAAAATTCAGTGAAATATTAGATTCATGATGTATCTATTATCAATTAATCCGTGTTAAGGATGACATTTCCCTAAAATTCACATTTTATTCCCCATACATGTTTTCAGGAATGTCATCATGTATTTACCTTTTTCATCTATCTCTTGCACAAAATACTGGGCACAGAAGCCCAGAAAACAATTCTACCTATAAGAGTAAACCAGAATCCCTCCTCCACTAAGATGTGGTCCTTATCCATTGTATCAATTATTCTCCCCTGTCATGACACTACGGGTATGAAATAATAAGCACTTTAGTGCTAAACACAAAGGAGATTTGGATTAGTATGAGGGGTGGCTGATATGCCTCTTCCCTTTCCAAGCCTTCCGGATCCACAGTTAATGAGAGGGAGGAGAGAACATGAGCACACACCCACAGTGCCATGAGCTGCCTGTGAGAGTGGAGATGATGATGATAGGATTAGTCAGTGGAAGACTTATGGTGAAGAGAGACGTCCGTGTCATGCATTTCAGGGTACAGGATTCAGTTTACTGATTAGACTACCTTAAACTTAATCCCAATAATAAGTTCCTTTAGACCAGAGATACATATCTGCAACACAAGTGACCCTGGATCTGTAATAGGTGAGACAAAATTAATGAGCCCTATAAATATTCCATAATCCACCAGAGCCTTGAAATGCCATGGCCCACAGGTCCACCCTGCACGGACAGGCCTGCGCTGGGCTAAGAATGCATCACAATGAACTATCTGCAGCATCGCCCTCTCTGCTGCTCGTGAGGTCATGGAGAACAAGGCTTCTTTGAGCATCAGCTGTTCGCTTTTTCCTTCTTCTCCAGGGCCCTTCTTAGAGGCTGATGGTCTCTGCATTCTGAGGAATTCTTTCTTGACCATGTCATTCTGCTTTGGCCTTGCTTAGTCTTTCAAAGATCAGCCAAAACCTGGGAGGTGAGAGAACCAATTCCTCTGACCAACTGCGGCTTGCGCAACACGACTTCCTATTGTGAAACCAGGCTGTATTTGGAGCATTACAACTAGGAGCTGTGATCTAGCAAGTTTCTACCATGGTCCTTTGGTTGCACAGAGAGGATAGCAACAAAAAACAAGTCCAAATGAGACAGACTTCTGGAATAATTTCCTGTGTAAGAACAATTTTTCATGTCCAGGGAAATTGCCCCTAAATTCCTTGATAAGAGCATGTATTTTGGATAGTGGTTTTTCAGAATATATAATGTTTTTGATTTAAGAGAGAGAGGGAGAGGAACATCAATGAGAGAAACACCAATCAGTGCCTCTTGCACGCCCCCTACTGGGGACTGAGCCCACAGACCGGCCATGTGCCCAGACAGGGAATCGAGCCAGTGGCCTCTCCTTGCATGGGATGACATCCAACCACCTGAGCCACACTGGCCAGGGCCAGGCTGTATATTTTAACTTAAAGGTGTATAAAAAACGAGTCTAAAAGTAAATCACATTTAACTTAAAAAAATGTAATTTCTCCTATATGTAGATATTACCTCAATTCACAATAAGAACTGAAAAAGCCACATGAGAACAGAGATCATGGCTGTTTCATTCACAATTGTATTTCCAGTTTGTTTAATTATTTTCATATTGTTGAGCTTATAATTTATACTTCAATGTTTCACCATGAAATGTCAAGTCCTGGACAACTGACAATGCAAGGTAAACATACTTCAGATGATAGGTATAGTAGCCACCTCTACTTTTTAGTCTCAGTGTTCATACTTAGAAGCATTAACTGAAATTTACACACACACACACACACACACACACACACACAGAGAGAAAAGTAACACTTCATTCTGACTACCTTAAAAATGCCTCATAATAAAACAATTCTCATAATAATTTTCTGAGGACGGTCCATACAGAAACCAGCACTGCATTTATAAACTATAGTAATGAAACTTGGTGAAATTAAGTCCTGTGTACTACTGGCTGGATAACTATTTTAGTTTCCTTCCTAGGATAATGTAGAATAAATGTATAAAACAATGCAGATACTTTGCTTAGAACACAGGCAAGTAGTCAGATAAACAAAAGTTTATTTCAAACCACATCCAGCTCTCTGTGCCATCTGGGCACAGCTCCATTCCTACCAGCCCCACAAATGGAACTGTATGGAAGCAAAAAAAAAAAAAAGAAAAAAATACAGTGTACCATTGGTTTGCAAGGTGCCTTTTCTCACATATTATCTTATTTCTCCTTTAGACTGTCCTTTAAGGCACAAATTATCACTGCTTTATGAAGATTTGCAGAAATGCTTTTTACTATATACTTTTCATTTATGGTATATAAGAATAAATGCAGTTGGTCTTTAATCTAATATGATAAACTAAAAACTCAAGACCAAACACAGAAGTTGTGCTCAGTTTATCCACATCAGAATAATTTTGAATGTATTTACTCCAATATTAAAGTAATTTCCGTGAGAAACATTCTATCCTGTCTAAAAAGACTTTCTGCTGCCCTTTGGACCTCCTCCAAACACGCTGGTTGTCTTGCTTGCAATCTTCTGTTGCATCACGCTGCCTCATCCTGTAGTGTTATGTACTTTTCCCATCAATTACATGTCCTACAATAACTGTACTTCTCTGATTACTCCTAGAAGGGCTGTCTTTACTTGGTGAAGTACTTCTCTAGTGTTTCTACCTGTGGATTCTATAAAGATGATCTAGTCACAGTACCATGAAGAAGTGTTTTTCTCTACTGCTCTTGAATCTTAATGATATTTGACTAAAACTGTTGTTCCTTTTCCCCATCAATAATAACAGTAACCATAACTATTAAAGATCCTGCAATCACTCTAAAATTCAATGTGGCAAAATTATATAAGAAAATAAATATCCAGTCACTTTTTCTCAGCCAGAATCATGCATAAAATTCAACAAGGGCTCAATAGTGAAAGAAACCCAAACTTCTAATTGTATTTGCAATAGACTTGAAAAAGATTCTAAGAAAGCAAAGTCCTTGGTTGGGTTAGAATTTCCAGAGAATGATGCCTGAAAACAACCTCCCTGAAAACTAAACACACTGTTGTAAGATTTAATTTAGTGAAATTTCTGATTTGGACTTGCTGGGGGTGCGGGGTGATGAAGACATTAGGAACATAATCCACATGGTTTGCTTTTTTGTTTTGTTTGGGGAAAAATAAAAATAAAATGCCACCTGCTGAATATGAAGAACTCTATAATGCTCCTTTATATTTTGAGTGGCAATTAGACTTGGTGACTGAGCTTCAATCAAAAACAATCCTCTCAATACAAGGAGGTGTTGTTCCATGTTCCAAATAAGACATCTCATCATGACATGCTTACACATCAGCAAGAACATTTTTATTAGCATAACTCTCATGATGTATACTGATCTTTATCCACATACATTTTCTGGTTTTTCCTTTCTTAGGATGCTTGAGGTTCCTTTTCAAATCACTATCATACAAAAAATTCCATCGCTGACTTGAAGTCTGAGATGTAACTTCCTACTTATTCCACAGACAGAGAAAACGACGACTTCCTCTGAACACAGCATCTGCATGGTCAGTCTGGCTATCACAGCTACTTGTAAAGAACAAAAATACTTTCTAATTACTGTGTGGAACCAGAGTGTCAGCCAATCCAAAAACTACCAGAACGTTCTGGAACGTTGGTCCAGTGGAAATAATAAGACCTTTGATACTGGGTCAATTAAGGAGGCTTTGTCTGCATGTGACCAAATATCCAGCTACCATCCACCTGTCAGAAACATTTATTTCACAAGGCAATAGCTGAGCCAGAGCCAGAAAAACGAAGTGGGCCAAGTCCACTGGGCGTTCTCTGCTGCTTCCTTTTCTCTTCAAGTTGGACTGGAAATACTATGAAGAAACCCTCTGAGCAATCCACCCCAAACAAGGAAGTCCATACAAAGGACAGGGACGTAGGAGGGAAACAGACCTGAAAAGAATGTGACTTCTATCTGCACTTAAGACTCAGAAATGTGCAGTTAGGAATCATCCCTATTTAACCCCTTAACTACTTATGTTGATTCATGTGAAAAAGTCCTTTAAGAGTCCACAGCTGAAGTTTACAAAGATTCAAAATAAATATTTTGGCAGGAAGTGTCTCCAAATACAACAGCTCGATTATACAGGGTAGAACAAAAGTGGGTTTACAACTGTTCTTTTGGAAAAAGACATGTAATTATTACAATAGCTTTATTAACTGCTTCTCAAACTCACAACTGTAAACCTACTTTTACCCCACCCTGTATTTACAAAGGAAATGTTCCCAATGGGCCTGAGTTAATCAGAAAATGAAACCTGAAAGCACTGTGAATGGATAAACTAAGCTGATTTAAAATATATAAACAATGATGTGAACATGAAAAACATACACTCAAAGAGAAGGATTCAGCATTATGTAAAGCTAGCAAATGTCAAGTAATTAAAATTAATCAATATATTTGGCTTTTTGACAGAAAATGTTCCAAATTTGTTGTTTAAAGTGAGACAGAAGAAGCTATCTCTCTCAATCTCTTTTCCTTCTATAGTTGTACTGCTCATATCATGCAATGTCTTTCTTGATGTAAAATCCTGAAAATGTGGCTAAGTAGCGTCAGATACTAGAAAATGCCCATTTTGTGATTGTGTGAAATGATATAAATTCTAAACCTCGGTTTGCTCATCAATAAATGAGATTAACCCTGACCTCACAGAGTTATCAGAAGCACTAAATGAGCACAATTTCTGTTCCACCTTTTCATCCAGCCCCACAGCCCCCTCCCCTCTGACAGCTGCCAGTCTTTCCTCTAGCTATGAGTCTAATTCTATTTTGTTCATTAGATTTCACATATGAGTGAAATCATTTGGCACTTGTCTTTCTCTGACTGGCTTAAGTCGGTAAAGGGATTAAGCAAAAACCACAAAAAACTCACACAGACAACACTATGGTGATTACCAGAGGGTAAAGGGGAGATGGTGACGGAAGGAAACTTGACTTGGGGTAGTGAACACACAATACAATATACAGATGATGTATTATAGGAATGTATACCTGAAATCTATATAGTTTTATTAACAAATGTCACCCCAATAAATTCAATAAAAAAGTAAAAAAAAACAAAACAAAACGGGGGGGGGGCACAATTTCTAGCCCTCAATGGATAATAAACAAAACTTAGGCTCCAGAGTAATGCCCAATCCTTCAAACCACTACCACTAGAAATAAAGAAGTAAGGTTGCAATTTTAATAGCGCTTTTAAGACCTATCTGATTTTGGTATTAGAAATACATTAGGAATAATAAACATGTCAAGACAGCTAGCTATTTCTCTAGGTGCTGAATAAGGATAAAACACTCAAGAACGGCTGGGCAACAGGGAAGCAGAGTGGCAGACGTTCAAAATGACCCCACAGTGGTTAGAGTTGAATCCCTATCAGAAGAAAACAGGAGCTGGGACACATCCAGGCCAGAACCACCAGCAACAAAGATGGGCTCTTCTGCGTGCAGGTACGAAGCACAACGCAGCTGCCCTGACACACAGCCACACACACGTTATCTGAAGGAAACAAGGATTTGAGAGAAAGGGCATAGACGCTTTTAGTAAACAATTTAACAATCCCCAGGTAAGGCTATTTTTAAACATACCAAATGTGGAGGCTCATTTATCCCAAGTGGTTCCTGAAAAACATATTAAATAAAACATTAAAACAATTGTAACCATATAATCAGTAGTCTTCTCAAAAGTTCCGAAAATATCTTGGCGGGGAGGAAGGTCTAGCCCAGGGGTGGGCAAACTTTTTGACTCGAGGGCCACAATGGGTTCTTAAACTGGACCGGAGGGCTGGAACAAAAGCATGGATGGAGTGTTTGTGTGAACTAATATAAATTCAAAGTAAACATCATTACATAAAAGGGTACGGTCTTTTTTTTTTTTAGTTTTATTCATTTCAAACGGGCCGTAGTTTGCCCAAGGCTGGTCTAGCCAATTTACTAGATTTTTTGAATTGGCCAAGACCCTCAAATAACTTACTGAATTCTCTTACAGTAATTTTGTATTTATTACTAATTCACTTTGAGTAATACTGTAGCTGGAAGAAAAAATGTGCCCCAATACCCATTAGAACAAAAGCGTCTGAACTTCCCACCATTCCGTCTCCCAAACTATCTCATGGGCACCCAGACTGCCCTGTAGTGTTTGTTATTACCCAGGCTTTTTGTGGAATGCCCTCTCTGCCCTACGTACCTTCAGATTTCACCCAGTGTATTCCCTTCTGTGGCACGGTCCCCAAGTTCCCAGGTCCTGAGTGCTTCCTTTCCCCTGCTCCCCTCCCACCGCCTACACATTTCATTTTCTCACTAATCACTCTATAATTAATTATCTGTATGTCTATCTCCTCAGAGACTGAGACCCATCAGGGCAGTCTTATCCATCTATCTCCAGTGAATCAGTACAGTGTCTGGCACAGCAGAGGCACCAAATAGATGCTGCTCAGTGAATGAACTGATCAAATTACAAAGCCACTTCATCAATGTGCTAATATCACACACAAGATCTCTATGGAGTCCACAGAAATTCTTATGCTATTTCATTTTCTCTACACATACATGCAACATAGATCAACAATTTCACTTTGAAAAAGCTTGTTCCACACATTCTGTTGTATGCCATCCCATGCCCCTGGCATTAGCTATGTCCATACTTTTAACTTACCAGTTGGATAGGTCGTATTGACATGATTATGTTATTTGATCCTCCCCAGTCAAAAAAGCATTTGTATTTCCCTTTCTCTAAAATGTACTGTTCTCCACAGAAAAACTTCTGCTGGTAGGCAACCCACCTAGTAGGGGGAAAAGGAAAAAGAACAGAGGTGATGTAGAATCGAGCAACCAACAATTTTAAACAGCAGAGAACATTTAAAGGTTCTCAAGGGAGGAGACAACTTACACTCCACTTTTAACATGAATGGATCTTGTTTCAGTGCCAAAGCCCGTTTCTTCTAAGTCAGAAATTTCCTGATTTTTAATGTCAATAAACTTCCCACTTTCCAGGTCAGATTCAAACAGTGTGATGGAAGACTCTATAAAATTCTAAGAGGAGGAAGAGAAAAGTTTAGAAAATGCATGAATTTTGTTTTATGGCTTGCTCAATCTTTGCACAATTTTCACATACTTGTAGGATAATTTTCACAAACATAGCTCCAGAAAGAATTTTAAATGGTATTGGGAATAATTGTAATAGTCACTATTCCTAAATAGTTTTAAAAACTAAGCCTCAATTTTTACTTTAATCAGAAAAACATACCATTTTTATATAAGTTGAAATTAGTCAACAGTTGGTAAATTGCTAGGACTTACAGGCTACCATGTGCAACACTACTTGTAAAGGAAACTAAAGTCTCACTTATGCCTAAAGATCAAAAGCTGCATGAAACAAAATGGGCAACAAGGGGGAGGATTTGATGTGCTTAAATGAAATTGGGAAAATAAAGTGCTTGACAAAAGAAAAAATTATTAAAAAATTAAATTGAGAGAAAATGCTCTAACTGGTTTGGCTCAGTGGATAGAGTGTCAGCCTGCAGACTAAAGGGTCCCAGGTTCGATTCCGGTCAAGGGCATGTACCTTGGTTGCGGGCACAACCCCAGTGGGGAGTGTGCAGGAGGCAGCTAAATCCATGTTTCTCTCTCATTGATGTTTCTAATTCTCTATCCCTCTCCCCTTCCTCTCTGTGAAAAATCAATAAAATATATTTAAAAAAATAAAAAAATAAACTGAAAGAAAATTGTATAAAGTTTTAATCAGACATGTTTGAAACAAAATTATCAGAAAAACTCTAAGACCCAAATTGATAAGTCAACAAATAACAGACATTTCACAAAAAATTAAAAACAAATAAGAAAATTGTGTCAATTGTTTTATTTTGAATTTCACTAATAAAAATAAATTCAAAATAAAACAATTGACACAATTTTCACTTTTTAAATTAAGATAAGAAGGATCTTAAAACCCAGTTTTGTCAGGGAACACTCCTGGTGGAAACATACATTGGACAGCTATTTTAGAAAATAATATAGAATATATTTAAAAGATTGATATTGTTCACACTCTTTGAGCCTGAAATTAATCCCTACCTTTTTTAAGTTGAGCTTTTTAAAGAAACTAAACAGTAGGTAATTTATATGCAAAGATGCATTGTTTGGAAGAGCTGTAGACAATGTAAATGTCCAAAAGATGCATCAAGATAAACTTTTATGCATCTACCACTTGATGGAATAAATATAATTATGAAGAGTTTTTAACAAGCTAACAGTGAAATATATTCTACACTTATTACTGGCCAGGAGTTTGATGTGCATTATTTTCAAATGAACAATCAAATGAGATTATATTACTTTCATCAGCATTGTACAACTAAGAAACGGAGTGATATATAATTATACTAAGTAATATATAAAAACTAGAGGCCCGGTGCATGAAATCTGTGCACAGGTAGAGTCCCTAGGCCTGGCCAGCGATCAGGGCCAGTCAGAGCCTTCTGGCTGCCGGCCGGGGCCTTCCTTCCACGGTTGCTGGCCAGGGCCTTCCTTCATTCTGTGCCTCCCCGTGGTGGTCAGCGCATGTCATAGTAAACGACTGAACTCTCGGTCTCCATTCGAACTCCTGAGGGGACATGTGCATATTATCCTTTTATCCTATATAATAAAGAGCTAATATGCAAATGGTCATCACACCCTCACGCTGTCACGCCATAACGGCTCAGACACTCAACACTGAGGAGAGAGGAATGGGGACCAGCCAGGCACAAATGAGCACACGAGAGAGAAATGGGGACCAACCAGGCTGCGGCCCGGGAGAGGGACAAGTACCCGCCCCGCAATCCCAGGCGCCAATGGCTGCACCTGCACCTGCGGCCCAGGAGAGGGACAAGCCGCCTGCCCCGTGGCGTGGCGGGGTCTGGGGTCCTGGGTTTCACACTATTTCCTGCAGGTCTGGGTCTCACGCGATTTTGCGCGCTGGGTCACTAGTATATATAGAAGATTGATATAACATATTAATACATTATATCAATATTATACACACACACACAGATGAGGAAATCAAGGCTTTAATAGCCTGTAAGTGATTTGCCTTAAAGTCCCCTGAATAAGCCTCACAACTGAAGGATGAAGTGTATAGCCCGGGTGCCACATCAACAAACCTGGCTGTACTGACAGCATACACTTCCAGCATGAACATGGCTTTGTCTCTTGCAACCTGAGAATGCGTAACTAGCTCGAGGCAGTTGGGAACCAGTATCAACAGCCACCTACCAAGTCAGGCCCAAACAAAATGGGAAGGTCTTTTATCAGCTCTCAATTTTATGGCTCTCTCCCCTCCTTTCCTCCCTCACTCCTTCCCTCCTTTCTTCCATCCCTCCTTCCCTCCCTCTCTCTGGTCACTCTGGAATGCTCCAACTCTGTTTCTATTACCTACTCTACTCTGGGTTAGGGTTTCAGGAAGGGGGGTGCAGGGATAAACTGAAATATACCATATGTCATTCATTATATTATGTTGGAATCAAATGGGACAAAGACAAAAAATAGAGATATGTGCATGCTTAACGTGTTTGTGCCCTTTCATGAAAATAACTTGTGTTACTATGTGATGTGCTCTACTTAAACAATGACTTGCACAAATCAATTGTGTGGGTTGTGGGGGAGTGACCACAGTGAGGAGGGTGAACTGGGAAGCAGGCTGGAGGGACAGGCCATTTGACCACAATGCAGCCCAGAGCCGAACAGAGGAGGAATCTGCTGTCAAAAGTGCCAGGTGCAAGTGCTGACAGTGTATGCATTCACAAATAAATTTACTCCCTGCCCAGCCAGCGTGGTTCAGTGCTTGAGCTTCGACCTATGAACTAGGAGGTCATGGTTTGATTCCCGGTCAGGGCACATGCCTGGGTTGTGGGCTCAATCCCCAGTGTGGGGCGCATAAGAGGCAGCTGGTCAATGATTCTCACTATTGATGTTTCTATCTCTCTCTCCCTCTCCCTTCTTCTCTGAAATCAATAAAAATATATTTTAAAAAATTTACTCCCATGGCTTGAGTGTGTGTCCTTCCTGCTCTGTCTACCAAGGGCCATGGGAATCTCCCAAGTAGCATTGCTCTCCTCTTTCCAGCTTTGGCTTTTGGTGCCTATAGCTCTTGCTTTCTGTCTTTTGTAAGTACCCTTCTGAACCACTCTCCTAGTTTTGAGCTTCTCTGCATTTTTCCTGAAACCTACCAAATATACAATATCTGATCTAGTTGACTAGCTGCCATCACTATGGTGCCCCTTCCAGGCAGAGTTCTACCTCTAAGCCAATCCCAATCATTTGGAGCTAAACCTCCAGGGTCATGTGTACAAAGCATGGCATGAAATAGTTAAAGAAAACACACCCCAAAACAAAAAAAATTGTAACTGTCTTGTTCTGGAGGTAACTGCAACAGGCCCTCAGAGTTACAACATCCTGAGTAAGCCCCACGAGGTTACCAGGTCACTGCCATCCCACTTTATTAGGCACAATTAAATAACGTCAGAAGTCATACTGATTTAAATGGAGCTTTACAGCTCGAGAAGAATGAATAATGATGGAATGACCTCAACTCTATATTCCACTTTATTTTTTCAAAGCACTGACATCCATTGAAAAATCGGGATAGTTTAATAGTTTCTCAGTACAGTACTCCTGCTGCTAAGAAAACGAATGAGCAGCTGCCGCAGGACCAAACAGCCTTAAAGATCAGTAATTTGATTATTTTTAATTTCCATAACATCCCTCAGCTGACTGGGTGCCAGAGCTTTTGCGCTACAAGCCCCGTGGACGATGCAACATGGGACACCAGCGGAGACTGAGCATACCCATTACTTTAGGAGAAAGACCTCCGCTGCATTCCACCTGGCTTCAGAGATTTGAAAAGAGGCCCAAAGTCTGAAAATCGTAACAAAAACAAATAAAAAAGCTAGTGGAAAACAAGTCTGTCAAGACAGTTTCGTTGAGAAAGCCAAAAAATAAAAATTCCTTCCTTAATCCCTGAAGTCTACTGCTATATTCCTTCTGGTCTTGTCCTTTAAAAAAATACTCAACTCCAAGTCAACACATCTGCCTGACTCATTTGGAATTAGGAACACATTTCTGGTTGTACTCTGCAAAGCACGCTGGGACACAGATCACATTCTCCCTAAGGAACTCATCCAGGGTTTGACCTTAGTAGAATCCAGAGTATTCTGCATACTGGAACCAAGACATTAGAAAACTGTATTGTATTATGCAGTTTTCTGTCCTCTTGTTTATTTTATATCACCTCAACTTAGATCTGAAAATGTAGCATTTCACTCGTTCTAAGGTTAGAGACATCTGAGAGTCTCCTACTTATGTAGGTCTGTGACAAAGGCTTTAAGTCCTATATCTAAATACTGTATTACTTAAAATTTTCAATGAGGGTAGACCTTATTATCACACATAAAAAAGTAATAATAAAGGGTATGGAAGAAAATTTGGGGAGATGATTAATATGTCTATGGCTCTGATGGTGGTAGATGATTTCACAGGTGTAATTTATCCCCAAACTCATTAAATATGCACAGCTTGCACTAGCCGGTTTGGATCAGTGTTTAGAGCGTCTGCCCTTGGACTGAAAGGTCACGGGTTTGATTCCAGTCAAGCGTACATACCTAGGTTGCAGGCTCAATCCCTGCCCTAGTCTGGGCGTGTGCAGGAGGCAACCAATCAATGTGTCTCTCTTACATCGATGTTTCTCTCTCTGTCTCTCCCCTCCCTTCTACTTTCTCTAAAAATCAATGAAAAAAATAAACAAAAAAAGGATAAAAAATAAACAAAAAAATAAAAAGAAATATGCACAACTCTTTACATGTCAAGCATGCCTCAATAAAGTGAACTCTCCCATTATATACTATGTCTAGTGAATGTAAAATATTTTTAAGTAAAACTTGATAAGCAAGTTTTTAAAAGCATTTTCATACTATAAACATCTTTAAATTCTAAATTTTCTAAATATGTACAGATTTGTTCATATATTTCATCTGAAAATATTTTGTGGACATAAGTTTATAAATAAACTGTCTGAAAGTTCATGTAAATAATTACTTATAATATGTATGTGTATTGTCTGCAATGTGACATATCTTTACAGCCACAAAGGAAGTGCCAATAAACCTTCGGTTGAATGAGATCCAGTTTTCCATTGTTAAGTGCTGTTTTAGTCTAACCATTTTGTAAAAGAGGAAAAGAAATTATATGGTACTAGAGGCCCGGTGCACAAAATTCGTGCACGGAGGAGGGGGGGGGTCCTTCAGCCTGGCCTGCACCCTCTCCAATCCAGGACCCCTCGGGGGCAGGCGGCTTGTCCCTCTCTTGGGCTGCAGCCTGGCTAGTCCCTATTCCTCTCTCGTGAGCTCATTTGTACCTAGCTGGTCCCCATTCCTCTCCCCGTTGTTGAGTGTCTGAGCCGTTATGATGTGACGGCGTGAGGGTGTGATGACAATTTGCATATTAGCTCTTTATTATATAGGATAGGCTCCAGAGTAGGCAGATTTGCCGTCAACTCACAGCTTTACACTTGGGCACAGTATCTCTCAGGTCCTTAGTTTCTCAATCTGTAAGATTGAGAGGACGTATGTATGCCTTTGAAAAGATTAAGTATAAGCATGAAAGTCAGGTCCTTGACAAATGTTAGAATATTATAATGAGGATTATGAAAACATCTTTAACTATAACTTAATAACTTACCTTTTAACTTTAAAAAAATCTAATTTAAAGAGAATAGAAGATCTTCTTGAAAGGGTACTTTTACTTATTTTTGTAAATGCCGCAAATTTTGTATGCAGCACTAATTAACATGCCAATTTTTCCAATATAGATTATCATAGACTCTCTATATCAAATATTTCATAATTATGTAGCTCTACAGGGTGGGGCAAAAGTAGGTTTACAGTTGTATCTACTTTCAAATGCAATAAGTAAATAATAATACAAAATAATTATTGCACTCGAAAGTGGCTACAACTGTAAATCTACTTTTGTCCCACCCTGTACAGTTATAGTATTCATATATTTTCATATTTTCTACTATTGGTAGATTTTAATTAGTGAGATGAGATTTGTTTTTTGTTAGCTTGCTTTAGTCACACTCATCTTTGGAAGATACCATCACATTCATTTCTAGGATCAGCAATGCTTCCACTCAATTCTTTTTGAAATAAGGAGGGAAAAGAAAATTTTGATACAAGGTGGAAGATGCATCGAATCATGACCTACAGTTTACTCAAAGAGTGTGGTCAACAACCTTAAAAAAAAAGATTGAAGACTATCTTGTTTTGTCTTGCTTGCCTTTTATTTTATTATTATTTTTTTAAAAGATATTTTATTGATTTTTTACAGAGAGGAAGGGAGAAGGATAGAGAGTTAGAAACATCGATGAGAGAGAAACATCGATCAGCTGCCTCCTGCACACCCCCTACTGGGGATGTGCCCACAACCAAGGTACATGCCCTTCACAGGAATCAAACCTGGGACGCTCTATCCACTGAGCCAAACCAGTTAGGGCTTGCTTGCCTTTTAGTGCTCAGGTAAGGAGTGGCTAGGTAGAGAAAACCGCTGGTCACTGTATATTGTGGAATAAATACCTCAAAAGTTACCTATCTGTCACTCAAATAAACTCAGTGCCCAGTCTTCAGTGGATTGCCCTGTATTTCTGTCAGGCAGAACTGGTTTCCAACTCTTATGGACAAGGATGTTTCATGGAAAAAAAAACCAACACAAAAAGAAAAAAAGCTCCCTTGTTCCCTGTGCTTCTTTCCCATTCTGGCTCCTCCTGTCTGGCCAGGTGAGGGGTTGCAGCAGAGCTGCTGCTGGCCCAGACACACAGACCAGAGGGGCCAGAGCACACAACCTCTGCGCTCACCCTGTGCTCAGTCCACGTGGACCCACAACCACCCTTCGCTTCATTATCAGTTCCTTCCAAGAGGGCTTTCACTATGCCAGAGTTTAGAGTTCATATGGGTACAGATTATTTTGGAAAGAGACTGCAGTGGGAATGCCTCAATCATAAGAAAACATGCCCCTCTGAGCATATTAGAGTCTGCAGGGCTGGTCAGAGAAATGAGTCACATTTGAGAAGGCTTGGTATCCTACAGAACTCTATCATTCACCGCCTCTTCTCTACAGCTTCATCAGCTTTCACCGGAGTCCTGCAAGGTCCTGGTCCCCTTTTCTCCAGACTTCCTTTACACTGTGCCATTTCTTAATACAGTCACCAAAAAGATCTTTCTAAACCACTAATCTAATCATACTCACCAGGTCTAAAATCCATGAGTGGCTCATTATCAAGTCAAGAAAAAAAAAATCTGAACTTTTCAACATGGCATATGAGGCCTTGCATTATCTGCCTCTGGACTCATCTTCCCAAAGTTCTTCCTAATACCCCGACTTAACTGCATTCCCTACCCCCCCATTACTTAATATGGCAGATTCTCAACCTCAGCACTATTAACATTTTAGGTCAGAAGATTCCTTCTTTGCTGGGGGTGGGAGGTGCGGTGAGGGGGGTTGCCCTTTGAATTGTAGGTGTTCAGCAGTATCTCTGGCTTTTACTCACTAAATGTCAGTAGCATGCCCCCGCCCCCAATCACGACAATACTAAATTTCTCCAGATACTGCCAATGGCCCCTAGAGGGTAAAATCACCCCAAACTGAGAACCACTGGCTTACATCCTTGCCTTTATATATGTTACTCTCTTACTAAAACAGCACCTACCTTTCCCCTTCACCCTGTCCTGAATTTCTTCACCTGGTAACTCCTGAACTTGAAATTTCAGCTCAGCTGTCCTCTTCACTTCCTCTCACTTCCAACAGGAGTAGCTGACCTTTTTCTGAGTACCCTCAGTACTCTGTGCTCAAGTCAATCACCGTCAAACAACATCAAACACCGCTGTAAGCGTCGTTTCCCTATCAGACTGCCTGCTCTGGGAGGGCAGGGCTGAGTCTCTGGCCACTGTACCTCCAGCACCTGGCACAATACAGCTATCAAAGCAGGTGCTCAAAAATGTGGAGTCAATAGGTGAAAAGTAAATACAAGTATTCTGAAATAATCATGGCAGTTAGAAAAACAGGCAAGCGGGGGAGGTAGAAGAAGGTAAAGGGGATAAATGGTGATGGAAGGAGACTTGACTTGGGTGGTGAACACACAATATACAGATGATGTATGACAGAACTGTACCTATAATTTTATTAACCAATGTCACCCCAATAAATTCAATTAAAAAACAAACAAACAAAAAACAGGTACATCACATAAGCAGTTCAGTTTAGTGCCCTCAGGTTTTAGAAAGATGTTAAAACCTCATGTTGTATCAGAGGTCATGTCCAATTTTTATGGAAAAATAAAGAGAGAAATTAAGAATTTGGGAGCTAACTCACAGCTTGTAAGTACCGGAAAGACAAGATGGGGCCGCTCAATGCCCCATAAGCATTTCTGTCTTCATAATCTCCTTCTTCAAGCAAGAATTGTTGGCCTTTAAAATGTTCTTTTTCATAGGCAACCCACCTAGAAATACAGAGGACACCAACTGAGCCATTCATGAGTAAAACTGTAGTCAAAAACGCAAGGAAAAAAATCATGATAAAGCACCCCGTTGCACATCACAGTGTTTTAAAAAGCAACATATTTGTTTTGTTACCATTTACAAAGACAAATGGTATACGCTCCATGGATCAATAATTTTTATAGTTTGCAGTCTCTCCCACCAAAAGGTCAACTGTTGCAGAATTACAACAAAGCAGTGCTCATTAATGCACGTGGTGTGGCCTGATACCACATCTCAAAATGGTTGAAGAACAGTTTACCAAGTAAAAAATAATGGAAAGCACAAATAGGCAATGAGACAAGTTACAAACCCACACTGAGATGCAAAGATAGTCACTCCTGTTGTACTGATGAAGCCCTCTGGAATGAGAGCATGATTACTATATTAAACATGCATTTAGATTTAGATCAAGGAGCCTCTCACCAGGCTTCAGCTCTAAAACACATCACACGGGGGTTTAGCAAAGAGAAACTGGGAAGTGTGACCGAGCTGGTATTAGCCTTGGTGGCCTTCATGCATGCAGAGGCTGTGGGCAAAGATGGGTCACAGTATGTGTTGACGAACTTAAACCCTCCCTTCGGCCACACTGTGCGACCAGAGTGGGACCCGCTCCCCTGGCACATGCCAAGGATGACTATTTTGGGCTCCTGGGTTGGGGACTTCTGAATTCTGGAGTTTGACAAACTGAAGCCTGGTAAGGTTACTACTGTTTGTTTCCTTTCTCCACCCCTACTCTAGCTGTGAAGATATAAAAATATTCCACAGGTTTCCATAGGGTGCAAAACTGCAGTAGCTGCTCAGCAATCATGAATCCTTCCTGGCTTTGTGCTGCAGGTGTGCGTACAGCAGGAGAAGGGGGCACATGAGTTGGAATAAACATGTCTTATACATCTTAATATATTTGTAATGTGTACAGAAACTAGCATTACTTTATTCTTAAGCTATTATGTGAAAATAAATCTTATAAGAACTTTCAAATTCTAAGCTTTCTTTTATATAAATGAGGCTACTCAAAACAAGCTTTTAATGCATTTGAATGGGAAAAAGAATAAAAGGTACAGAGGACCTTACTATTAAAGAAGAGATCAGTGAATTTTCATATAATGACAGTTGAAAATCTTCTGCCCAGTTTTTCTGAATAGATTTAATTAAGATTCAATGTATATATCCATCTGAGATATTAAAATGTAGATGTTATCTGAGAAAAATTAAGAAACATCAACCTCACTTTCCCCAGATCCTTCAAGATGGGAGAGAGATGAGGAAGAGCCCTCATATACCACATATAAGCAGCTGACAAAAGTGAAAAATGGTAGAAATGCAGAAAAAATAATGAAGTTGGCTGTTTATCTCTCAATGGGGACATCACATTTTTCTCTGCAGTTGCCATATAAAAATGATAGTGTGTACATTGTATTGTAAGTCATAATATTTTGAGATTTTAATAAAATAATTATAGGAAAGAACAATGACAATCACAATCTAGTTAATGGGAAAAATATTTGGATCCCAGAGGGAAGAAAAGGCAAAAATATTTAGCAAAGGATTAACAAGAAGCATGTGTGTTCACAAATCAGAGGACACCACAAATAAATACAACACAATAGAAATGTGTTTGTCCAAGGCATATTTGTTCTTCAAGCCCTTAATAAAAATTTAAAATTCAAAAATAATTACAAAATAAAATTGAAAGAAAAAATAAATGTATTTTTTATGAAAATATATTTACCAAAACAAACAAACAAAAAGATGATTACCAAAATGTCAGACTAATTATGGATATGATCCACCTATCCAGCATATTGCATAGTCTCTCATAATTCCAATTTGGTTGGTATGGCCATCGCTTGATTTTTTTTTGCTGGAAATAGCAAATTCTAAGTCTCTAAAATATAGATGCTTGAGTGATCTTATATATAAGTCATTTAATTTCTATGAATAAAGTATTTTAATAGCATCTTTTGCTAGAGTATCCTGAATAAGTTATACAATGTTAGCACAAGTATCAAGAGGTACCAAGGCTTAAATTAAAACAAACCAACATTCCAAATAGACCGACATATCAACAGAGAGACTAACGGAAAGTATCTGGAGGGATCAGTACTGGGTTGACAATGGTGAATAAGCTATGAAAGCTGCTTCTCCCTGGTTTTACCTGCCAGGATACAAATACAGAAGTCGGGCCACAGATTTCCTGGGGCTCCTGCCCCAGTAACTGCTGACTGAGACTGAGTTAGCACAATGATGGCTACAATGGGTTTATACTTAGGAGCTCTTTGGGGGCTTCCAAATGCAGTTCAGGGCCACAGGTTAACGATATCAAAATGCCTTACTTTGAAACAGACAACCAGGCTACTTCTTTAATGGGGGAGGGCTCACTGTCAATGTCCTCAGCACAGAGTCAACTAAGAGCCATAGAAGAGATTTTTTTATTTTGTGTTGTGTTGACCCTATAAAATCAGAGTGTATAAGGAAGCTATAGGACAGAATATTCACTAAAAATACTTTAAGCCTGGCCAGTGTGGCTCAGTGGTTGAGCGTCAACCTATGAACCAGGAGGTCACGGTTTGATTCCCAGTCAGGGCACATGCCCAGTTGTGGGCTCAATTCCCAGTATGGGCATGCAGGAGGCAGCCAATCAATGATTCTCTCTCATCATTGATGTTTCAATCTTTCTCTCCCTTTCCCTTCCTCTCTGAAATCAATAAAAATATATCAATAAAAATATTTAAAACAAACAAAAAACTAGGGCTCTCATCCATGCTCATAATCTTTAAGAAAATAATTTTATTTGCAATTCTTATTTCTGTATTGTGATTAGTAATACTAAGTGCTGAAGTTTTGGAAACTATTTTCTATTTAATCTACCTCAAAATCTGTAATGCCAAGCGTTCACAGGAGGCTACTAGTAGCTAATATTTTTTATTTCCCATATTATCAAAGGAATTTATATCTTCAGACTAAGGCAGGTGGTTTTTGCTCTGATTAGCACATTTTCTGTACTGACCTTCATAAATAGACTAAATCAACTATTGAAAATATGACACTCACACTCCACCGATGACACGAATAGATCCAATTCCATGAAATTCCTCATCATTTTTTAAAAAATTAGGGACAGAATCTATATGTTCACTAAACTTTTTGGCTTGTCCATGGAAGTGAGGTTTTTCATAAATAATAACCTGAAAAATATGAAAGGAAAGTACTTAACATGCTCATATTTTAGAATAGATACACGTTAAAGACAACACCATGAATAAGGATCATGGTCTGTTTTTTCATTAATATATACTTACACTAGAGCACAGTGTCTGACAGTCACAAGGCATAAATGAGTCTTTAGCATCACAATGATAAAATATCTTAATAGTATACTTCTCTTATATTAATATACTCAAGTCTGATCACATTGTTCTGGTTATCCAAATCCTATGACCCTCTCATAGGAAAAACTCTCTTATAACTGGTTCTTGAATTGTCTTCCTAAGTTTATCCCTGTGATTAGAATTTAATACAAACCTTCCTTATACTTATGGAATGTCCCCTGTAAGAAATAAAAGCTCTCTTGAGGTTCCAGGGCATAATAATAAATTATCTATGGATTTGAGAAAACATGCTGTTTCTTATAACGGTGCTTCTATGGTTGTTACTATTTAACAAGAAGAAAGAGACAGGCAAATTCTTGAGTCTAAGTAGGAAACTTCCTAAAAATAAAAAATGATTGAAAAGTTATAGTATTTTTACTCCATGGTTGATTTAAATTAGGGGGGAGGAGGTAAGTGTAGAAGGAAATAAATTTGCAGCATTTCATTTACTTCAAATTTGGATTAGTACAAGTATCTTTTCCCCACCATTTTGATGCTCTTTATTCTCAAGTATGAGCTGCTCTTAGTATGTGGAAGTGATAACAGCGCTAGTCTACCCACATACTAGCACTCGGTCCTATTTGTGGCTAATGGCACAATCTGTGCACAACTGGCAACACATGGCCTTGGCCAATAAGATCCCATGCTCAAACACAGCGAACCAGCAAGTGATAGCTCTTATTATTTTCTTTTTTATAAATCTTTATTGCTGACAGTATTACATATGTCCCCTTTGTATTCCCCTTTGCCCTCTCCTCCCCTCAAAGCCTTTACCACCCTATCGTCCTGTCTATGGGTTATGCATAGCTCTTTTTTAAAAAACTGATAAAATTATACAGACTGAAGTAAATATGTAGCACTGCTCCTGCAGTTTTCTACCTGTTAATTCTTCACCAGGTGCTGTATTGGAAGAAATGAAGTTTTATTTGGGTTTAATACATATGCCGAACACAACCAAAATAAGAAAGAAGCGATAATCCTTTGATGAGTAAGCCATAACTGACATCTAGCACCTTGAAAACTGTGGCTGTCTATGACAGCCATTCCATTCATACACCTCTACAACCTGTCAGACTGCAATGTCCAAGGCAGACCCAGCCTGCTGCACCGAAGTTCTGATTCAGCAAGCAAGGAGACTAAGACAGGAGCTACTCAGGGCGTGTCCCAGCTAATTCTGCATCTACTAGGTCCCTGGTTTGAAACTTTAGTTATAAGTTAGAATCACTGGGGAAGCTCTGCAAAATATGACCACACCCAGGACCAAGCCAGTACCTTTGTGAGTGGAACCCAGGCATAAGTATTTTTTTTTAAACTCAGATATGAGTGATTCCATCGTACAGCCAAAATGTATTAGACACACTCAGATATTGAGTTCCAAAAGACTCCATCTAGAGAGAATGGTAGTCAATTCCACAAATTAGGAAGCCCCCAAATGGGAGGTTTGGATGCTGTGTGTCAGTTTGGAGGAAAGGAGAATGGATCAATCGCTGCCCACCCCTGCCCCTGGAGGTGCCGTGCCCTCATTACACAGAGGCTGTTGGCAGCTTTTCTCACTGCACTTTTATCTTCTGACCTCTCCTTAGACACATTTTATAATTCTATTTCTTCCTTTCTTTCCCAAAATGTGCTTAATCATGGCACCGCTACCACTCTAGTTTTCATCGCCTCTATCCTTCCCTTTAAATACTCATGATTTAAAAACTGCCGTCTACCTGACAGAGCTATCTACACCTTCTAACCATCCTGGATCTCCTTGAGCATCACCCCAAATGCCTGCTAGGTATCTCCACCTGAATATCTAGCTGCGACCTATACCCCACCCCAAACAAAAATCAAACTTACCACCTTTTCACCTGTCAGTAGGTGCTTATTGGGTTTGGGTTTTCAATACAGACCTGGGCTTTCGTGCAGTCACTTCCCCCCACCCCAACATTCACTGATAACATATATTCAGGTAACTGTTTTCAATTTTAACAGTTCAAATTACACAAAAAAATAATACTCAATCTTTTTTAGCCTACTACAACAGCCTGTTCCAAACTTACCTTTAAGTTCATGGGCATTTCCACTTTTAGTCCACCCTTAAGATAATAAGAAATTTTAATGTTAAATATATAAACATTTAAAACATTTGAAAGTAACTATGTGACATACATGTATAGGTTATATAAAAATCTGATTAGTGAAGACTATGTAACAATTAAATTTAAGTTGTGATAAATTTAAAATTTTAAGAACAGAACTCTATAATAGTTAAAATCAAGCCAGACTTCTCTACATCAATGTAGATGGGGCAGGAGATATTAGAAGATACTTTCCAGCTTGGCCAGTGTTGCTCAGTGGTTGAGCAATGACCTATGAACCAGGATGTCATGGTTTGATTCCCAGTCAGGGCACATACTTGGGTTGTGGGCTCAATCCCCAGTGTGGGGCGTGCAGGAGGCAGCCAGTCAGTGATTCTCTCTCATCATTGATGTTTCTCTTTCTCTCTCTCTCTCTCTCTCTCTCTCTCTCTCTCTCTCTCTCCCCCTTCCTCTCTGAGATTAAAAAAACATATGTATTATACTTTCCAGATTACAACAACAAGGAAGAAAACAGAACTTCAGTCCTAAGCACACATGAGTAATTAAAGATTTAATCCCAAGTCCAAAAATAAGAGTGGAATTGTTAGATTTAAAAACCTCATTTGGCAGAAGAGATTTCTAAAGCACTTATTACTAAAAGTCTTCTCTACAATTGCTTGGGCTTTTAAATTAGAGAGAGCACTTCCTCTTCCACGTTCTGTCAATACTTTTTATCATATTTAATGTCTTTTGGGCTTCAAGGTTGTAGAGCAAGCATGTCAAACTCATGGTCTACGGGCCACATGCCTTGTTTATTTGGCCCGTGTTAGCCTCTGAGTTTGAAATGCTTGTTGTAGAGCATAAAAAGTACCTTTCTTCTCACAAAAAAACTAATTCTATAATCTACTTGTTTCGAATGCTGTCCCACATTAAAATATTTCTTAAAATTTCTTAGTTTGTTCTTAATTTTTTTTAAAATATATTTTATTGATTTTTTACAGAGAGGAAGGGAGAGAGAGATAGTTAGAAACATCGATGAGAGAGAAACATCGACCAGCTGCCTCCTGCACATCTCCTACTGGGGATGTGCCCGCAACCCAGGTACATGCCCTTGACCGGAATCGAACCCGGGACCTTTCAGTCCGCAGGCTGACGCTCTATCCACTGAGCCAAACCGGTCTCGGCAGTTTGTTCTTAATTTTTAAAAAAGGCACAAAACCACCAAATATGCCTTTATCACACAGGTAACATTTAATTAATACTTTGCACCTCAAATAAAAATGTGTGCAAGAAAATAAACACTGAAGGTACTTATCTTTAAGAAAGCCACCACTGAAAGACTGCCCATTTACTACTAATGCTGAGCTTAGCATGCATTACTACAATTGAAGAGTATAATCTATTAGTAATTTATAATAAGCATAAAAAAGAAAATTCAAAACTTTATTAAATAGTAAAAAATTTCACAGAACATTTATAAAGAAATTGCATGCACTGTTATAAACTTAGCACAAAATAAATTAGACATTTGTCTTCTGGGGAAAAAATTAAAATTTCTCACATGGATATTCTCTACAATATAAAGAAACAAAAACAATGAATTCATAGTTTGTTAATTCAGTAGTATTCACATTCATTTCTCAGGACTGACATGCATGAGCAATCATCAGAGCTATTTAATTTTGGATTCATGGGTATTTGGAAAAATGTTTCCTTTTACATTTGCTTACCATTTGAAGTGGATGCAATGATTTCATTTCTGCTGCAGAAATCTCAAAGAGTCCATGGCCCTCCTCCAAAATTGTAGCTTGCCCCTTAAAATTAATATCTGGGTAGGCAAGCCAACTACAAAGAAAGGAATGACTGGTTAAAGTATAACAGGAATACCTTCGTCTGGTTCTGTAAAAGTTAAAAGGGCTATGTAAAAACAAAACAAAAATCTATCATGGAATTATGCTAATAAACTCACTCAAAGTGACTGTGCCAACAAGAAACAACAAGTTAACATGCTATTAAGTACTTACATTCAAACATTACGGATCCTGTAATAAGTCTATCATATGTTTTCCAAGCATTAAAAACTCCCAATACTTCAAGTCAAGCAGAATATAAGTGAAGTATCAATTGCATACCACCATGTTCCATTCTTTTGAAAACTGGAGCAATCAGAGGTAGGGATTCCACTAGGCATCTTACAACTTTGACCTACATTTTTAGAATCAGTTATCAGTTCTACTGGCTGCCTTAGGAGCAGTATGTGAATAAGATTCCCCAAAGACTCATCTAGCTTCCACCTAAATTTGATAATTACAGATATTGCTCATGGATAGGGTTAATTCCTGGGTCTGCCCAAGAGTTCTAATCCATGGTTGGGGAAGATGAAGAAAGACGTCCTACAATGACCCCAAAATTCTACAGCACCATCGTCAAAGCAGATGAAAACAGTGAATGAAACAAGAGAGATCCATGTTGAACCAGGCATCACAGCATCTTTGAATTAAGACTAAACTCAGACCCATACTCCTGAAGATACCTTTGGAATCAGAAACGCCTAGCCTGAGCCCAACCCCTTAATTGCCTTATTTATAACATGAGCACAGCTCCACCTGCCTTGAAGGCATAGAGGAGTAATAAACAAAAAGGCACCATGTCCCTGGCACTGCAGAGGCACTCAGCAACTACTAGCACTGAGACGCTCCAGAAATAGTTTAGGCTGCAGAATTTTAGGCCAGGGACACACTTTTATTTCTAAGTCCTAAAATTTGGTGGAGAAAAAGAGATGGATGCATCGATGATCGAGAATGGTGTGTGAGACCGTATATGCTCCTGTGAGCCATACAGCAAAGACTTAATGGGAGCCAATGAGAGAGAATCTGTTTCGTCCCTGCAGCAGTCTTTCTTAGGTACCCAGGGGCACAAAGGAAATGAACTTACACTTCAGAAACACGTGTGTCACTTACTGAAGTATGAAACAAAAAGTTAACTTTGGTGGCCATCACTCACTGAAATAAAGAGAAACGGATACGTACACTCCCGACTTCACAGTGAAGGACGTGTATTTGGGGATATCCAGCTCTTCTAAGTTAGGGACCGCTCGCTGTATGCAGACAGGACAACATGGTGGGTCAGACTGCAGGCAAAGTTCTATCTCTGGAATACTGCAATCCTGGGAAAAAAATTGGTTTTGAAATCATCTAAGAAACACACAGTCCAGTGTTCTCAGCACCCTGGACATGCAGTTACAACTATTCTCATTGCTCAGTTAAATTTCTTCACAGGGCAACATGAAAGAAATACTGTTTCCCTATTTTAGTTTTTTAAAATAAATTTTTCATCTTGAAAAAAAAATTTTCTTTTACATTTTTCAATTACAGTTTATATTCAATATTATTTTATATTAGTTTCAGTGTATAGCATAGTGGATAGACATTTATATAATTTATGAAGTGACCCCCCCAATAAGTCTAGAAGCCACCTGGCACCATACATAGTTATTACAATATTTTTTATTATATTCCCTATGTTGTACTTTACATCTCCATGACTATTCTGTAACTGCCAATTTGTCCTCCCCAATCCCTTCACTTTTTCACCCATCTTCCCAACCCCCTCCTATCTGCCAACCAATACATTTTTCTAAGAAGTTATGCTGATATGATGAAAATTATAAATATTAGTGATTGAAAAAGTATTACTCCAATATTTTCTGCTTTGTTTGTAGAAGTCTTGTTCCATGAAGCATGCTCAGAGTTACCAAACTATCTGAGTGCCAAACACCTGTAAGCCTTCCTTCTTAGAAGCACAACAGAGCCACAGGGAGGAAAGGTTAAGTAAAAGCTGATCTCATGAGCAACATTAAAAAATAAATAGCAAAGAGGTACTACACCCTCAGTGTGTTATCTAATTTACATTGACAAAAGAAGTAGAAATTAGAGATGAGGGTAAAGGAAATCTGTTTTTCTACTTGTGGCATTTTATTTTCTTTAGTACAAGTTGACTTGAAGAAGAAAGGCATTATGAAATTTGACCTACATTCCGGCACACATCCACTGTCACCATGTCCTGTCAGACCTTCCTTAAAATTTCACTTGTGTTTATCTCTTATCTATTCCCACGTTCAAAGTCCTTCATCAAGGCCAAGACTTTGATTATGGGGCTATACCACCAGTCAAGTGCCAGCCACTCTTCATACAGCTGGGCTTGTTAGAACACCACTTTCCTCATGACACTCCTTGACTCAAGACCCAAGCACATCAAATTTATATTGGTTTCCCTTTCTATAACACGGTACCAACCTAGCAATCTATACTAATCTCCATAACTCTTCGGTCATACTGGTCTCCATGCTCTCTTCACTCCCTCTCTGGCCTCTTTATGCTTTGTAAATGTTTCCCCCATTGAAATTACAGAGATAGTCCTCTGTACTCTTACTTATGAAAATCCTATTTAATAATAGACAAACATGGTAATTGACTTTACCTTCCCTACACCTCCCATTGGCTAATCAGTGCGATATGCAAATTAACCACCAATAAAGATGGCGGCTAATTTGCATACTGCAGGCAGGGTGGGACAGCGCCATCCCGCCTGCCCTGCCCCCATCCAGGCCTGCTATCTGTGACCTGGGGTGGCAGGCGTCCCGTGTGCGACCCGACCCGGGGCGGCTGGGCAGGGCAGCAGCGATCGGCTGGCCCGCCCGGGCATCCTGTGTGCGACCGACCCAGGGTGGCGGGGCGGGACAGCGTGGCTCCTCTGTCACCCCAGCTTCCTCATCACAGCTCCCTTGAGGTCCTAAGCCTTTAGTCAGACATCCCCCGAGGGTTCCCTGGCTGCCAGAAGGATGTCTGACTGCAAGCTTAGGCCTGATCCCCCAGGGAGTGGGCCTAAGTTGACGGGTGGACATCCCCCAAGGGGTTCTGGACTGCAAATGGGCGCAGGCCGGGCTGAGGGACCCCCCCGAGAGCACAAATTTTTTCCACCAGGCCTCTAGTCTTTAAATAGTCAAGTTCTAAGTAAAAAATGACCTCAACTTTTCTTAGGGAATCAAAACCACAATTATTTTCCTTTCCTGAAAGTACAGATGTGCTTCTTTCTTTCTTTTTTTAAAATATATTTTATTGATTTTTTTACAGAGAGGAAAGGAGAGAGATAGAGAGTTAGAAACATCGATGAGAGAGAAATATCGATCAGCTGCCTCCTGCACATCTCCCACTGGGGATGTGCCCGCAACCCAGGTACATGCCCTTGACCGGAATCGAACCTGGGACCTTACAGTTCGCAGGCCGACACTCTATCCACTGAGCCAAACCGGTTTCGGCCAGATGTGCTTCTTTCTGAACACACAGTCTATCTCAGTAGGCGTGGGTGTTTTATTCTATGATTTAAGTTTCAGCAGCAAAATCCTCATCTAGGTCATCATGAAATTCAAATGATGACTATCCTATCTAATAAAAGAGAAACATAGTAATTAGCTGTAACTCCACTACCCTTCCCATTGGCTAATCAGGGCGATATGCAAATTAACTGCCAGCCAAGATGGCGGCCGGCAGCCAGGCAGCTTGAAGCGAACATGAGGCTTGCTTGCTTCAGTGACGGAGGACTCCAACATTCCCTGCCTGCCGCTGCAGGCCTCTGAGCTTGAAGTTTGAAACATTGTTACAAATATAGAAGCTAAACAAAACCCCAGAAACCTGCTTTCAGCCAGCCAGGATCTTAGAGCTGGAGTTTAAACAGTGTTTCGATTATAGAACCCAAACAAACCAGATACCTGCTTTCAGCAGCAGAGGCCTCAGAGCTGGAGCCAAGCCTCAGAGCAAAGCTGGCCCAGAATAAAAAAGAAAAAGAAAAAAAAGAGCGGTTGGGAGCTTCAGTCACCCGCCAGCCTGAAAACGGCCCTCAGCCCCTCACCCAGACTGGCCAGGCACCCCAGTGGGGACCCCCACCCTGATCCAGGACACCCTTCAGGGCAAACCAGCCAGCCCCGACCCGTGCACCAGGCCTCTATCCTATATAGTAAAAGGGTAATATGCCACCCAGCACCTGGATCAGCGTGACAGGGGGCAGCGCCCAAACCCCCTGATCGCCCTGCGGCTCTGTGTGTGACAGGGGGCAGGGCCACAACCTCCCTTTCCGCCATGCTTTGTTTGTGACAGGGGAAGGTGCCCCAACCCCCTGATCAGCCCTGCTCTGTGCATGACAGGGGGGAGCTCCCTAACCCCCTGATGGGCCCTGCTCTGTGCGTGATAGGGGTAGAGCCAGAACCTGCTCCATTGGCCCTGCCTGAGTGTGACAGAGTGTGGCGACCCAACCCCCTGATCCGCCCTGCTCTGTGTATGACAGGGGGCGGTGCCCAAATTCCCCTATTGGCCCTACTCTGTGAGTGAAGGGGGGAAGTTGCTCAACCCCCGGATTGGCCCTGCTCTGTGCATGACAGGGGGAGCTCCTAACCCCTGATGGGCCCTGCTCTGTGCGTGATAGGGGGCAGCGCCACAACCCCCCAATCGGCCCTACCCTGAGCGTGACTAGAGGTGGCATCGCAACCTCCCGATCTGCCCTGCTCTGTGCATGACAGGGGGCGGCGCCCCAACTCCCCAATCAGCCCTGCTCTGAACCTGACCAGGGGCTGCACCTAGGGATTGGGCCTGCCCTCTGCCACCCGGGAGCAGGCCTAAGCCAGCAGGTCATTATCTCCCGAGGGGTCCCAGACTGCGAGAGGGCACAGGCCGGGCTGAGGGACTCCCTCTCCCCCCCAAGTGCACACATTTTTGTGCACTGGGCCTCTAGTACTTTAATAAAATAGGTAAATGCAGTTAACAATCAGAGGTGACACTTACTGGACTGAACAATTGTATTTTTTATCACAATCAATTTTGCAATTTTAAAACTGTAAATTTCTAATTTTTTAACCTTTCTCCAAACTGAGTTCTCTTATTAATCATTATTAATAATTCTCCCTATGTAAAAGCAAGCAAATTGATACATTTTATTTTCAGAAAGTTAGTTCTAAAATGCAATACAGTAAAAAGCCATTACCTAAAACATTCTTTAAAGTATAAAAAATTATTTCATTCTAAAGTTTCTTTTCAAAAACAGCCAGAAATGTCCACAATAGTCACCTGTCAATCTTCAATGCTCTTTTGTTTGCTGTGAATAATAGAGTTCTAGGAACAGAACTGTGCCATACTCATGTTCCCCTGGGGTTTGAGGGGCAGGAACAGAGCATAGCACTAAGTGTCTCACACAAACAAGCTTCCTCTGCATTGTGTTGTACAAACAATGTTTGGGTGGTGCACTTTAAAAGGGAAAAAGCTAGGAGGCATTCAAGTCGGCCACAACACAGAAGGAAACAGCATAATGGAACATGCATGACAATGGCTAAAAAAATGAAAAAATAAACAAAAATAAGAATGCTTAAACTCTCAACTGTCTTTAATAGAGGATCAATTTTTTTTCTCCAGTTGATTAAAAAATATTTCACTAAGTTCTAGCTTCTTCATGGTTTCTACTCAAGAAATAAAGTCTTTTGCAAGACTTGCATAATTCTAGATGGTCAAAGGTAGTAAACACTAGCGACGGAAGGGTGCTTTATAGTAGCCTAGCAACAATAAACAGTTTACTCTCAGTAAAGAAACATTTATATGGCTTCCTTCCAGACTTTTCTAGCCATGATATACTTTACAAATATATTTTGGTGAAATTTGCCAGCTTAGACTATTAAAGCAATTAGTTGGAAGGGAGAAAAAACTGCAGGATAGAAAAAGAGTGGGAATGAATTGCAGTTTAAAAAAGAACAGTAAGAAAATCTATTTGTCTCCACCTCACATAAATACTTCAGTCACTGACCTAACATCTCTCCCTCTTGGTTCATTAATGAGGACACAACCTATGTAACTTCTGACCATAAGAAAAATGTCATTCCTTAAAAAAAATTAAATGCATGGTAAACATAAACACAGTATAATTTGCAATATTCATATCCTCTATTTGAGAAAAGAAAGCACTTGACACAAGACTCACTGCGCTGCTATCCCACCCCCAGTTATTTTCACTGGGGCAGAGATGAGCTAGAGCAGATTCCACAATAATGGATGGCACCTGATCTATTCACAGCAAAGTGAAAAACACCATTGGAAGTATTATCTTTAAAGTTTTGACTAGTCCGAGTACAGCATCTAAAAGATGACGAAACAAGGTAAGTTGGCGTAGGCCTCGGTGAATTTGGAATGGCCACCATGAAGCAAAGTTATCCATAACCAGCATTTTGACACTTTTGGAGAAAGGAAGCAGTTTGATGCTCAATTCTTACTTTGTTAAATACTTAGAACAATGCTAATGCCTTTTCCATTCAATGCTCAATAGTTTTATTTTCCTTCCTCACTGAAAGTTGCTAGCCTGTTCAAGATATGTGGGCACTAACACTGCAATTTAAATAAGATTCCAAGAACAAACAATGGAAGAAGGAAAAAAATGCAAGCATGACTTATTCTTTCTTATAATATATTCTAAGCAAATGACAGATGTGCAAATACCGCTTTATAGACATTCTTAACAGACTGTTTCTTTTGTTTGATTTTATTATTGTTTGATTGGGTGGAGTGGGTTAGGAGGTAGCTGCTTTCAACATCTTATTCATCTTTCTTTCCTCACCAGGCCTGGCATGGTGCCTGACACTCACAAGGAGGGCACAAAACCATGTTATTTAAATCTTGGACGATTCCACCTACAAACTAATTATTCATTCAAGGAATTTCTAGTGAGTCAGCCAATTAAGCGAGCCCTATAGAGAAACACTGTCCTTTATGCCAGACCATTGATCTCCTTGCAGCACCAAAAAAACCCTGCCAGGACTCCCTCGCGTTTCCTCCGCTGCCCAACTCCTGTTTATTCTCTCAAGATTCCAATCTGGTGCCACCCCCTCCAGGCAGGTGTCTCTGCTTTGTGCGTCCTTAGGCCTTGCAGATAACTTCTTACATCATGTGGTCGTGTGACTCCACTGTCTCTCCCTAGACGTTGAATAACCTGAAGCACGAGACTGTATCTCACTTGTTTTTCTATTCCCAATACCCATCACAGTACTGGGTCCAAAAGCAGACACAGATATTTGTAGACACAGGTTTGTTATAGTTTTGCAGAAAGTATTACACATAATACATGCAGACACCCCTTTATGATAATATGAGTTTTTCTGTATGCTATCTACAATTATCAAGAATTTAATAACATCAATTCATATCATCATAATTTTCCATTTTACGCATATAAAAGAAATCTTCATAATTTGAAAAAAAAAGTCTTTTGAGTACCATAGGAGTAATTAAACTAAATCATGTGCTATGTTACCACTGAAGGAACTTTAAGAAACATGGAGCTTGCTTCCCTTATCTGACATCTGACATTATCACTAATTCACTCCTCAAACCACCACAGGGCTACCCACAAAATGTGTTTTATACGGAAAGACTTCTCATCTTAGTATGAAATAACATTTTCTAAACAGAAAATAAAAATAGGCAATGCACCTTCTATTCCTCTCCCCATTCCTTCCTTCTCCTAACACTCCCTTTATTTCTCTCCTTCTCCTTCTCTCTTGCTCTCTTTCTCTCTCAGAACTACACAAAGGAGAAGAAATCTATACTAAAAAAAAGATATTTGGAAATATCAATTATTTTCCTAAAGATGCCTGATGATATATTTCTACTGCTTTAAAAAAAACTATATAAAAGCCTAAGCGACCGAACGACCAGTCAGCTGGTTGCTATGACATGCACTGACCACCAGGGGGTAGACGCTCAATGCAGGAGTTGCCCCATGGTGGTCAGTGTGCTCCCACAGCCAATCTCCCGTGGCTGGCCAACCTCCCACAGTCCCTCCTGCCAGCCAACTGCCTGTGGTCCCTCCGCCCAGCAGTCCAGCCCCCCGCCCCCGCCCCAACCAGCCCTGATCACTGGCTAAGCCAAGGACCCCAACCATGCACGAATTTGTGCACTGGGCCTCTAGTATATATATAATGTCATGTATGATTTTATGGCCCAGCTTACCATTAATACTTTAAATTAGCATTCACTTAATATGTATAATATGAAATATTATAATTAATACTAGAGGCCCAGTGCACAAAATTCGTGCACTTGGCGGGGGGAGGGTCCCTCAGCCTGGCCTGTGCCCTCTCACAGTCTGGGAACCCCACGATCGATCACTCCAAAAAGGTAGGCCCCACCCACCCGGCTGGGCTCCTCAATGGATTGCCTCTGCAGAGGGAGGCCCCGCCCACTTGATGCAGCCCACTGGTCGGTGGCCTGGGCCTCCCTTTGTAGGGTGATCATAGAGCGATGGCCGGCCCCCTGACCAATCGCATCGCACCCGCCTTGGCTGGCCTGGTGCTAGTGGGTGTCATAGTGTGGTCATCCGGAAGGTCATTTGGACAGTCATTCTGCTGTTCGGTTGTTCGGTCGATTTGCATATTACGTTTTTACTATTATAGATAACAAAGATCAATGAAATTAGCACCAATTATGGCAACCATTTCTAAACATTGCTAGGCCAAAGTACAGCTTTACTACGTGACAAACAAAACAAAATAAAAAATAGAAGAAATCAACAGTTCTCTTACCTTTATAACACGTTTGATAGAACCCAATACAAAGTTTCTCTGTGGATGCATTCTGTTCTGAAGGATCCAGTCACGATTTAATACCTTTTCTCCTTCTTCTAACACACATTTCTGACCTTGGAAATGTGGTTTCTCATATAAAATCCAGCTGAAAAACATAAAAGCATGATCAGTTATAATTGATTTTCTAAGAAATGAAGCATAAAGCAAAAGAAAAGTCATAGACCATTTTATCTATTTGCATTTTTAAATCTGAGTGATTTTCTACTATTAGCATAAAATCCTATTTTTGAAATGATATACAGTGGGGCCTTGACTTACAAGTTTAATTCGTTCCGAGACCGAGCTCGTTAAGGAGCTCATTAACTCAAATTACTCTGTCAACTCAATGCAAAAAATTGGCCGAGAGATAGCTGATATCTCAAAAAACTCGTTAGTCGGGACACTCGTAAGTCAAGACCCCACTGTATATGCTAGTTTAAGTACAAACAGTATAAGAAAAAATAAACTTGGAAGTAATACTTCCTGAACATAATACTATAATCCATGCCTATCCCTATATTTATGTATATATGCACTTTATAGATGTTGTACACACAAAGTTACAAATTTATAATAAAAGCAGTTGCTTAACTATTCCAAATTCCACTTCTACTCTAATTTTCCTGTCACTGGTTAACAGAGGACGTGTGTCCCATTTTACTACATGAAGCCAGCACTACTTAATGCTTACAGCACGACTACTGACCAGTGGGTAACTCAAATACTGGGCAAAGAAGTCCCAGCTCGACATACCCATGGGATATAGTCCATAAGAACAAGTGAGGTTCCCCCCGCATTTTGACAACATACAAAGAATACTTCATGTTTTGAGCAGGTCAGCTGCACAAATGACTAAGTATGTGGCTTTCACATTCTTAGCATCCCACAAACTTCAAACTCATTTTCAAAACTATGCTTGATTCAACTGAAGCCTTCAGCTCAACTTGCCAAATCTGTCATGTGAATAATGCAGTTACACAATGGTATTGATTGTTATATTGTGTATATTAGCTCTTGCCACTTACTGTTGGCTTTAAGCACTAAGAACAGCCTATATTTGCTGCCACAGGAAACAGAACAATCTATGTATATAAAAGCCTAAGCGACTGTCCAACCGGTAGCTATGACGCACAATGACCACCATGGGGCAGATGCTCCGACCGGTAGCCATGACGCGCTCTGATCACCAGGGGGCAGATGCTCAATGCAGGAGCTGCAGAGCTGCGGTGAATTGGCAGCTGTGGTTCTTGGGTGATGCACCCGGAACCAGAGCGGAGGGAGCCCTCACAATCTGGGACCCCTTGGGGGATGTTGGAGAGCCGGTTTTGGCTCTATCCCTGCAGGCCAGGCCGAGGGGCTCCAATGGTGCACGAATCCGTGCACCAGGCCTCTAACTAAGTTCTAAAACACTAATAATGCTTCAAAATATTCTGTCAAAAAAGAGGGGAAAGGGAATGTGACTTTAATAAAAAAAAAATACGAAAGTATAAATGGCAACCAAACATTTAATTTGGGGGGGGGGATGCTATAAAATTTTAAGAGATCTCTTACCAGCCTCTTACAACTCTTATCAGTACCCCATTTGGAAAGGTCCATGATGTAGCATCGAGAATACTACAGTAGACCTCTTGTTTATAATTACTTCCGTGAAGATCATAGATAACGATCTGCAACATATAGAAAACAGGCACAATAACTAACTTTAAAAATGCATTTAAAATTGTAAAAAGTCCTAGAATCTAGAAAATAAAATATCCTGAGTAAATAAAGTAGACATGACTTTAGATGTTAAATCCTTGAATAAAATAATCCTTTTCTAAGTCAGCTCAAAGTCTTTACTTAAAACTCCTTAAGCCTAATAGTAACTATATTTTTCATATTATATATTAGTCTATGTAAGAATCTTATGCTGCCCAGCTGGCATGGCTCAGTGGTTGAGCATCGACCTATGAACTGGTCAAGGCATAAACCCGGGTTGCTGGCTTGATCCCCAGTGTGGGGCGTGCAGGAGGCAGCTGATCAATGATTCTCTCTCATCACCAATGTTTCTCTCTCTCCCTCCCACTCTCTTCCTCTCTAAAATCAATAAAAAATAAAAAAATAAAAAGAAAGAAAAAAACTTATGCTTACCTTTCCAGGTCTTGGGTTACACCTCAGAGTTTGTATGTCAACATTCTGAAATAATAAACGTGGAAGAAGTAAGCCTTAAGAAACATCAGTGGAAAGATACATTGTTCACTTTCTCAGCCATCACAAATCAAATTTCTCACATTTACTTGGTGACATTATGTGCAAGGTGTACCTCTAGGTGTTACAAAGAAGTAAAGGTAAATATAGAGGAAAATGTGTTGTCTCTGCCCTCAGGAAGCTTATGGCTTGGAAGGGAGAAATAGTTGATTGCACTCTCATGACTCTTCTAAGGGGTGGGGGGCTAAGTTAAACCCACAGGTAAAATACCAGGTTATGAAAGAAAATGCCAGGTTATGAAAGTTAAGGCAAATGGCACCAGCGTGGAGGGAGGTAAAGGAAAAGATTTGGAAGAGGCTTGTCTGAGGAAGTGGGATGGAGAAGACCTTGAAAAACAGAAATTCAATGAGTGAAAAAATATGGCCGTAGAAAAAAAGTCCAGGAAGAGAACCCGAGAAGAAGTATGTTGGTAGGAAACACAGGGTGTGAACCAGAGCATAAGGAGGCAAGGCTGCACAAATAGAATTTGGGGGCCTTGTAATACAGAGTGAGGAGGTTCCACTTGATTTGGTAGACAACAGGGAGGCATTAAAGAAACACTTATTTAAATCATTTTTTAAAAATGACTTTGCCTTGCAAGCTGTTGGCTGGTATTCAAGTATTACTATTTGCTCCTAAGGCTATTCCATGTAAAGGTACAGGCTTTGGACCCCTAGAGAAAGTTCCATAGTAGGGGTCCTCAAACTACGGCCCGCGGGCCACATGCGGCCCCCCGAAAACATTTATCCAGCCCGCCGGGTGTTTTTGCCGCCGCTGTGTGCATAGGAATTTGTTCATAGTTTTTCTTAAAACTATAGTCTGGCCCTCCAACGGTCTGAGGGACAGTGAACTGGCCCCCTGTTTAAAAAGTTTGAGGACCCCTGTTCCATAGTCTTGAGAATGCCAGAGAGGAAAGTCCCATGTTCAATGAATATTCTACATTAGCCATTTAAACATTTCTAAGTCAAAGAAAAGTGTAACTGAATTTCAAAACATTTTCCAACTATAATGTTATCAGCTCTTTTTCTTGGAATTAGGCTGTTCATTGCCCTGCTTTGAATGAACAATAACATGAGCAACTAAAGTGAGAGGAGGCTGTTAAGCAAACAGTTAAAATATTTTTAAGTATTTAAAATATTTCCAACTACTATGAAATATTTTCATGAGATACATAAGCTCAAAAAATGTATCAATTTTTAAAAATATATATTTTTATTGATTTCAGAGAGGAAGGGAGTGGGGAAGATAGATAGAAACATCAGTGATGAGAGAGAATCATTGATCAGCTGCCTCTTACACACCCCACTCTGGAAATGGAGCCCAAACCTGACTGGGAATAGAACTATGACCTCCTACGGCTTAATCACTGAGCCACACTGGCTGGGCGAAAGTATCAATTTTTCTCACATATAGTCAGAGAAATTCAGAATCTTGTAACTTAATTTAGTTTAAAAACCAATGATAGTACTGATTGGTGTGACTCAGTTGGTTAGAACGTCATCCCATGCACCAAAGGGTCATGGGTTTGATTCCTAGTCAGGGCACATACTTTGGTTGTGGGTTCAGTCCCTGGTCGGGGTGCATGTTGGAGGTAGCCTATCGATGTTCCTCTCTCACACCGATGTTTCTCTTCTCTCTCCTCTCTCCTCTTTCCTCCCCCGTTCTCTCTCTCTAAAAAAATCAATAATTAAATAAAACCACACATATCCTCTAGTGAGGATTTAAAAAAACAACAACTGCCCTTGCTGGTTGGGGCACATGCCCGGATTGTGGGTTTGATCCCCCATAAGGGGCACGTAGGAGGCAGCCTATCAATGTTCTACTCTCACATAGATGTTTCTCTCTCTCCCTCACTTCCTCTATCTCTAAAAATCAATTAAAAATTAAAAACAAAACTAAATATAGCAAAGAACTGGAAAAATAACTTGCTTCTCTGCCTTTAAATTTTGAGCTAAATTTTTTTCTCAATGTAACAACTTAGCTAAAAATACATAACTTATGCTACAGTTCAACCAAAGAATAAATTAACCTCTGATATTTTTAAAAACAATCTTTACACATCAAAACATTGATTTTTCTTAAGTTTCTAGGTCGTTTAATGACCCAAGCACTACTTCACTTAAGCACTAGTTAATAATCAAAATGACTTACCTCTATGAATGGGCTTAATCTGCCTGAGTTGTCTTGAGCACGGAAATATTTTGAAGCTGGTTCCTGCAAAGTCCCACCAAATCGGGCTCCTTTTTCTGAGGAGTGGGTTTTGGAAGTCTGCAAATACTGATGATAAGCACTCTTTACAGAAGAATGTAGTTTAGAAGTAAGGTCAGACTTTTGTAGAAATGAGGCCTTTTCTGGCCACAGCCCAATTTGCAGATTGGGAGTTGTAGGTTCCTTTGCCTTCACAGATAAATTCTTAGAAATTCCAGTCCTTTCCTGGTCATCATCAGAGTCAAACGTGCTGGAAGGATCTGTCCACTTGAAGGCAACAGATTCCCTCCTGCTAGCTCTGAGACTTCCCTTATACAATGACTCTTCTTCCTCTTCCCCTAACTCCTGCCTCTCCTCTTCATCAAAATTCATCTTTAAGCGCTCTGACACCGACTGGAGAAGTGATAAAACAGAAGAGGGCTGGTTGGCATTATCCCTAGACTTTGTGGAGCCATGATGACCAGGTGAGACCTCGTTGGATACAATGTCCTCCTGAGAGCTGTCATCCTCATAGATGGGAGACAAAGCTAAGGGATAAATTTTGTACCTTTTGGCTTCCACTGATAAGAACATTTCTGAACTATCACTATCAAAGTTCTCACCTAATTTAGTACCTCTTTCAAAATGATGGACCAGGTCAGTTCTACTCTCGGATCTTTCACATGTGACAACAGGTATGCTGCCAGGGGGTGCATCAGGAAACGAGGGACAGGTTCTCCTCACTTCAGCAGGAGCACACTTGTCTTCACCTTGAAGGGGTTCTTCATACAATATAGTGAAGGAAGGGTTTTCTTGTTCAGCCTGAGAAATGAAGGCTAAGTTAGAGTCTTCTCTTTTATCGTAACCATCTCCTAGATTTCTTATTTTGTTATCTACTGCAGTAACAGATGTTCTTCTGTCTAGCCTTTCTATAGTATCCACAGGTTGAAAATCTGGCATTGCTAAGGCAGGGTAGCCTTCAAAATCCTTACTTAACGTAGGCGGTTCATATCCCCTGAAATAGGAAGCAAGTCTGTTGTCACGCGTTATCAAGCCTTCCTTTACTTCAGTGGGCTCTTCCTCCATTTCTCCAATACTCTCTTCAGCATAATCTTGGGGTACTTTTTCAGGTTCAGATATGGGAGGCATGGCCTCTGCTTGTGTAACAGGCAATTCCAGACCTGTCCCATATGTTTTTCCTACATCTACCACTGCAGGTAACACTTGGTGTTTCCTGACAGTCCCATCAGAATCTTCTGGGGCTGTTCTCTCCATCTCTATCATAGAGGGCATGGACACAATCGTTCTAACTGTCTCTTTAGCATCCCTCTTGCACGCTTTTCCCATTTCTGGAGAGGCAGGGGCTGCCTTCTTGGGTATTTTTTTCACTTCCAATGCAAAAGGCACCTTTTCAGTTTTCCTAGTAACTCCTTCAGCATCCATTTGGTAACTGTTTTCCATTCCCAACACAGGCCTTTCAGTCTTTTCAGCAACCCCCCCAGAATCTTCATGGTAGATGTTTACCACGTCAAACATAATGGGCATCACCTCAGTTTTGTCCATATCTCCCTCAGCATCCTTTTGGTAAATATCTTCTATTTCTGATGCAGGAGGCATCACTTCAGCCTTTTCAGTAAACCCCTCAGCATCTTTTTGGTAGATATTTTCTATTTCTGATACAACTGATGTCACCCCGGTCTTGCCAACATCACCTTCAGCATGCTTTTGGCAAATATTTTCCATTCCCAATTTAACAGGCATCACTTCAGTCTTTCCAGTAATTCCCTCGGCCTCTTTTTGACAGATATTTTTTACTTCTGACATAACAGGCATCACGTCAGTTTTGCCAACATCCCTTTCAGTATCCCCCATCTTACATGCCTTTTCCATTCCTAAAAGGGCAGGTATTCCCTCAGTTTTTTCATGATACCCCTCAGTATGCATTTGGTGTACTTCTTGCATTTTAAAACTGTCAGCCGTGGGCTCAGCTTTTGTCTCATTCAATTCATCATCCCTTTTATGTGTTCCTCCCACTTCTGACATAAGGGGGACTGCCTCATTTTTCATAACACTTAATTCAGCATTCTTTTGGTTTGTTTTTCCTATTTCTAACATGGAAGGGATAAGCTCAATGTTTCCTATATTTCCTTCAGCATCCTTTTTGTGCACTTCCCCTACTTCTGACATTGCGAGGGGTATGCTCTTATTACTGTATGCTAGCAAGCCTTTTTCAGGCATACACACAAGACTATCAGACAAACTGCTTTTGGATGTCCCAGGTAAACGGATGTCATCATTTGCGCACGGAGGCCATTGGACATTTAATACAAGAGTTCCAGTATCCTCTGTCCAAGTTTTTTGATTATTCACACATTCTATTTCCATTTTCTCTTTAGAGTCCTTTTTGAGAAGTACATGTGTTTCTACCCTATCGTCTGACCCTTTATGGGGCAAGTCTTCAGCTAGTAAAACAGTATCTGATTCCTGCAAGTTTATACCATCAGACTGTCCAGCTCCGTTTCCTTTAATTGACTCTGTGTTACTTACAGAGAAGAATCTACCTAATACTTTATTTTCACTAATTTCACATGTGCTTTGATTTACTACCTGTTTTGACACCACCAACTCCCTCACAGGAGGCTTAACACTCTCACTGTTCAGAATTTTTGGAGTATTAGCCTGAAGTTCAGAATCCCAGGTAGTCTCAGTGTCTTCAAAAGCATCATTTGTTATATGTTTTTGGACTGAATTAATAATCTCACTGACTAATTCCCTAGCTTGATCTTCTAACAAACAAGATACATTCATTCTATCAGAATCAAAAAGGAGACTCTCCTCACCAGGTGTAGGCGAAACACAGGCCTTTTCTTCCCCCTGGACTCCTGCCATGTTTCCCAAGTCCTGCTCTTCCCAATGCTCTGTCAGTTGGGTCCCCGGCAGTGGAGCCTCCGCTGGGTTCTCCTCAGACGTGCCTTCTGGCAGGGCGCCAGGATCCATGATGCCGTCTTTGGCCAGATGCTCTTGGCAGATATCAACTGTGTGTTTGGATTTCAGGTCTTCCCTAACAGAATCAAAGATCTCACCAATCAACGTGTCAGCCTTTTTCAGCAAACCGCTTCTGAGGGCCCCGAGCTGGTGCTCAGCAGAGGCTTCAGAACACTGCTGGCGGGAGCTGTTAACTGACGCCGGGGCCCCAGCAACTGCTCCCGCCTCTGCTTCCATGGGCCTGTCAAACGGGGCAGCAGTTGGGAAATCCAGAGATACCATCCCAGTATGATTACCAAAATGTCCCTGAAAGGAGGTCACTTCAGCCCCTGTTGGTACAGATGCTTCCAATTCCAAATAAGAGCTATCGGGGTACAGCCGGTTAGTTAAGGCACCTTCATGTGTGGTATCTATAGCAACTTCTGCAGAACCAAAATTATCCTGGGGATTATGTGAACTCGTGACCATGCTGACTCCTTCGGCCTTACTAGAGGAAGGCATGCTGTCAACCCCACCTTTCTTTCCCTGAGACGAGGCTTCCTTTTCAGATCTGAGCACAGAAGGAACACTGAGAAAGCTTGCATCTTCAGGTGCAAAAGTGTTTTTTTCCAAAGTGATGTCAGACCCCAGAAAAGGTGAATTTACTTTTGTGCTGTCAGTTTCTTGGCATTTGGGGCAAGTATTAGTTAGGCTGAGTTCTGCTGTTTCTGAGAAACCTGATATCTTTTCAGTCCCACAAATATCTGAAGGTTCATAACTCACACAAGTGTTGGCTTTTTCATCATGAATGGGAGGTAAAATCCCAGGTGTATTACTTCTGAGAGAAGCAGAAGCATAAGCCAACACTTCTACCTCTGTTTCCTTTACACCTTGATATCTGGAGACAGAAGGAGAAACCTCCGTTTGGCAATTCTCATTAAGTCCAGCATCTGAATATTTCTCTTTAAGCTCATTATGATCCACCAATTGACAACTTTTGTCCTGTTCAGCCTCTGGAGAGGTTAACTCTGATAAGATAGGCTTTGCTGGCACACCTGTAATTTCAAATGGAGAAGAAATTTTATCCTGAGAAATGTCTCCAGGGTCTGTGTGGGAAACAGGTATCTCGGAGAGGGCTATAGTTTTTCCTCTTCCAGAATGTGACTCCACAGGAACACTATTCTGACCATCGACTTCAGCTTTTGAGAAAACTTTAGCAACGTTACTAGTTTTGGTGTCCAAGGAAAGAGAACCAGACTTCTCCATAGTGCTTTTCCTCGCTCCGCTGTTTGAACGCATTAACTCTGCTTTATGAGGGTCCTGAGAGGAAATGGAACTGTGATGCTCAGAGAGGTTTTCATCCTCCAATCTCGAGTCCGCCCCCCTCAGGTGGGTGTCACTGGTTTCAGGGTCTAGTGGAACCTGGCATTTTTCACTATTAGGAAGAACATCCTTGGATTCAAGAATCACAGACGTGTGCCCAGGGTGAAGGCAAACTGGAGGACTCTTCCCGTCGGCAGCGTCAATGTGATTCGCCACATTTTCTTCTCGACACCCACCAGGCTCACTGGAAACACCAACAATGTTGACATCCCCTGTTTCAATGAGCACAGAAGACCCCTCAATCTTTAAAACAGGCACATCCAACCTGCTCAGCATACTAATTCCAGAAACAATGGGGGGAGATGAAGCACTGGAATTTGATTTTTCACAGTCAAGGGTAAGAGAGGTTCTGGTATCAAGTGATACTTGAGCTTGTTGAGGACTCTCAGAGTCGGGAAGAGAGTCTGAAATGTGATTTCTATGGAGTCTGAAGGACAGTTCAGGGGTTATTTTGTTTTCTAGGCAGGCTACCCCTGGTGACTCACTGATGCATTTTATAGCAGCAGGGGCCTTTTGATTGATTCTAAGAACATGAGGCATTTTGCCATGTGGCCCCAAATCAAGGTTTTTGGGTTCTGCTATAGACAACTGGTCAGTATCTTTGGGTAATGACTCAATTCCATCTTCTGCATGGTTTGCATGACTTGAAGCTGTGGGTTCACCAACTGAGACAGTTTCTGTTTCTTGCCTGATTTCTGTAACAGCTGGATTTTTCTGTGCATCTCGGGCAGACGACCTGTTTCCTTCATTTACAAGTTCAGTGCCTGTCACAGCATGCCTCTGAAGAGCAGCGGTGTGACTGGCAGCCTGTTCTGATGAGTTACCTACAGGTGGCGTGTCAGAACACTCACTCTCTGGAGACGGCAAGCCTTCATGCCTGATGGATTTATCTGGACACGGAAAATCTGTACTTTCCTGTTGGGTACTGTCACTTCCATCAGATTTACTACAAGACACGTCAGCAACAGCAGGGTGCTCAGGCTCGACATGCTCTTCCCTTTGCACCAGGCTCCCATCACTCCCGATGGAGCTGTTTTTTTCTGTTGCAGTCTCTGTAGGAGTTATCCTCTGAAAGTCTGGACGGCCAGGGACTGAGCCGCTGCAACTTCCTGTAAACAATGCGGAACACACTAGGTTTCCGTCAGTCTGAGAAACTGGCACACGACTTAAATGCTGCTGTGAGTCAGATTCTCCAACAGCAAAGCTGGAGTTAGTCACAGAAGAAGGGGATGGCCTACTTCCCTCAGGTCCCCCAGGGCCATTTTTATTTAAAACATCCTTAGAAGAAGGAATCTTCAGCACGTCTGGGTTGTTTCTCAGATGGCTTTCTGTGTTGAGACTTATTCTGCTACAATCAGAATCTTCTAATAGGTCTCCATGCATATGTCCTTTCATAGCTATGTCTGTGCTAGATGATGACAAAGATGACCGCATCCCAACCTCAATCTCATTCCTAGGGCCAGTATGTGTGCTCGTACTAGAGTCAGAACTTTCATTTTCTCTGTCCAAGGGATTCACCGTTTCTAACACAGTCTGTTGCTTCAAAAATTTCCTAATTTGTCTGGGGCCTCGATACGTTGCATATGTTACTGAAGGCCTCTCTGGTTTACCATCTGTTTGTCTGTGAATAAACAAAACAAAACACAAACAGCATGAGAGTATCAGAAAATATAATTAGAACACCTTAAGAGTAATCCCAGAAACTCTGGTGAAGTGTATCTCATAATAGGGAAGGCTTTTCACCTTTCTATGTAGAGAAAAGCTATAAAACCAGCAGTTTGTTTTTCCAAATTACAGCAAAGCTTTGACAATAGAAATTCTCATTGTGGATATAAATCTTTTGAAAGTATATGAATTAAAGAACTTTTTAAAGCATTTCAACCCAAACAAAGAAGCAGCTTCCTATATAAATGACATTGGAAGCATGAGTTAGTGTATAGAAAAGAATCTAAAAATTGTTACTCAACAGGTATATTTAAAGGCCATATAGATATTAAAAAGGAAATTTGCACAGTCAACTATACATACAATTACAAAGCTGTTTATTATTTTTAATTACATGAAGATAAAATCATTTACATTGCCTTTTGATGAGGATTTCTTTCAAATATACTTCAAAATATAGGTAGTAACTTGTTTAAATTCTGTATTAATTGTGATTCACAGTGATAAAAAATATGTTTATACGATAGTAATAGCATTATGCAGCACAGGCTATTTTATTAACTTGTCTAAATTAAATTATTAACCCTTTTTAATACACCTGATTATTAAAAAAACTATTAAAAAATTAGGGGCATTTTTATATGAGAAAGACAATGTAAAACCTTCAGTTAATTATTCTTTCTTAAAATAAATTAAAAATTTTATGTACGTAAAACTGAAGTCTCATAGGAATTTCAAAAGCATAGGCTCTTAATGTTAAATAATATTTTATATCTCAAATACTCTCATTTCAATAAAAATTAAATATATCCTTGCTTGCAATAAATTCTTATCACAGAACCAAAGAGACAACTTTAATACTTAAAATGCAGATGCTCAAATGATTAGAAAATAGCTTCTCCAGATATATTATTTACATAATATCTAAAATTGGTTATAAGCAGTCCTTACTCACACTGTCAAAATAAACTATTAACCAAAATGGTATTCAACTTTTATAATTCCTAAACAAATTAAAAATTGTCAACAGGAAGTTCCTAAAACTATAATTCAAAATCTGATTTCTCAGGCTGGGCTGGAAGAAGTTTGTTATCGCAGTCAAACTGGATGTCCAGTGGTCTTTTCCTTTCCTCTTAAGAATCACTTTTCTTAGCTGTGTAAAAAGGAAAGGTCCCAACGCTGCAATAGCTGTGGCGAATGGTGGAATTTTTTGGTACACCCCAGTGATCGTAGGTCCGGTAGCCAGGGTTTGCCCTTGAGGACTTGGAAACTTCTTACACAGTCTCCACCAGCTGTTCCTATTGTTATTAATTTCTATTATTAATTGTTATTAACTGTATGATTTGGGGGATGTTACATATTTTTCTGAGCCTTGTTTCCTTATTTAAAAAAAGAAATATAGATTAAAACAAAGCAACAACAGCCAGGCCAGTGTGGTTTAGTGGCTGAGCATAGACCCATGAACCAAAAGGTCACCGGTTTGATTTCTGGTCAGGGCACAGGCCTGGGTTGTGGGTGATCCCCAGTAGGGGGCATGAAGAAGACAGACAATTGATGTTCCTATATCTCTATCGCTTTTCCTTCCTCTCTCTTTCTAAAAAATAAAGACAAAAATAAATCAACAAAACAAAACAATAACAAGAATCGCCTTTCTTTGCTGAGGTGGTTCTGGTGAATTGCCTTAAACAAGTAATCTGTTAACAAGGAAGGCTTTACCAACAAGAATTAAGAGGCACAGTATCCTCTTCCATTTTCTACTGTTCAGTACCAAAGAAGTAAACCTGACTGTCAAGACGAAAATTCTGAAATGTTCCAAATTACAATTACAGAGCCCAGAGAGTGAGAGAAAGAGAAGAGTTTGCCTGTTAATAGCTGTGGACCAGTTCTGACGAAAGACTGCTATTTCTATACATCTGATGGAACTTCGGATTAAATTCCAGGTGGCTATTTCCACAGATAATTTTAGTCAGGCACCATCGATCCCCAGGAGCCTCCACTTCTTGCCTAAACGGGGGCTTGCCAGACTGATGCCCACCACCAAGCCACAGGAGTGGGCTGCGCCCATCCCAGAGCTGCCCGCGGCACCTCCTCCTACCCCTTTCCTACAGCTAATGTACATTCTTTCAGATGGCATGCATCTTTCTTCCCCCTTCCCCGTGTTTGATGTATAAAAGTGCCTACAAAGGACACATCCATCGGAGATGATGGACGTGTCCTTCCTACCTAGCCATGCTGCTGGTGCTTTAGGCTCCATGCCCCAAGACAGGTATTCTATTTTTTGCTAGCAATGGTCTAATAAACTGTTCTTTTAAAAAGACTTTCAGCCATGGAAATTATTTTTTTGTTGGTTTGTTTAATGACCTATTAATCAAAACCAAAGAAGAAAAAGCACAAAGTTTCCATTCTACCCAATCCCATAGAACAGGCTCAAAATCCCCACCTTTTAAATTACTTTGGAACCAAAATCGCCCGGAGAGGTAGCCCACTGCTGGGTCTCACTCCCAGATATGCTGAGTCAGTGGGTCTGGATCAGATAATCTGCATTTCTAATGCTTCCCAGGTGCTGCTGCTGATGATGATCTGTGGCCACATCTACAATAGCACTGCTTCAGACCATTCTTTATGAACAATGGACCCAATTCAACTTTTGTTGTTGTTGTTGCTATTGGACATTTGTTTCTAATTATACATTCTTATAAATAACGTTTCAGTAAACACATTTATTACTGGAGATAATCTACATGGTTTTTAATGTTCTTGATACACATTGCCCTAAAATGTGTCCTCACTCCTAACAGTACACAACTGCATTAGACATTATCAACATGACACACAGAGTACCATCATTTATTATCACTGCTATCAATTTAGTAGGAGAAAAGTTATTTTAGTTTGCATTTCTCTGATTGCTAGTGAGGATACGTTTTCTCCACTTATTTATTAGCAGTTTGTATTTCTTTTATCTGAATGATTTGTTTATATTGTTTGCCCATTTATTCTATTTGTAAGTTATTGTCTAAAATTCTTATCAGTTAAAGCATGGTCTGACATTTTTCATATATAATTTTTTTGTTTGCCAATTTAATGTATCATTGGTTATGATATCGCTTGACATAAGCGAGTTTGAAAATTGTAAGTAATCCACTTTACTGATCTTTCATTTCCTGCTTTCCATTGCTATCATGCTTAGAACATTGTTTCTCCCCAAGATAAAATTCACATTTAGCTACTTTTAGTTTTGTATGATTTTAGTATGTTACTCCATTTTTATTGATTTTAACATAAAAATGAGACCACAAAGAACTAAATAGTCCTAAGTTATCACCTATATCTGTATATAGTATTATTGATGAGCTCCTCAAATAATAAAAATAATTCTCAGGTAGAGGTTAAATTAAAGTAAATAAAACAGATCTATCTCTCTCTCTCCCTCTATCTTCCTCTCTGAAATCAATAAAAATATATTAAAAAATAAAATAAAACAGATCCTTATTAGGGTTTTTTTTTGGTTGTTAATCCTCACCCAAGGACATTTTCCCATTGATTTTTATTTATTTTATTTTTTTAAAAAATATATTTTATTGATTTTTTACAGAGAAGAAGGGAGAGGTATAGAGAGTTAGAAACATCGATGAGAGAGATTGATCAGCTGCCTCCTGCACACCCCCCACTGGGGATGTGCCCGCAACCAAGGTACATGCCCTTGACAGGAATCGAACCTGGGACCCTTCAGTCCGCAGGCCGATGCTCTATCCACTGAGCCAAAATGGTTCAGCCCATTGATTTTTAGAGAGAGTGAAAGGAGGTGGATGGGGGGGAGAGAAACACTGATGTCAGAGACACATTGATTGGTTGCCTCCCACACATGCTCTGACTGGGGCCAGTGATGGAGCCTGCAACGGAGGAACGTGACCTTGACCAAAATTGAACTGGAGTCCCTTCAGTCCACAGGCTGATGCTCTATTCACTAAGCCAAACTGGCCAGGTCTTTTTATTAGTTTTAAAATATATATATATATATGTAATTTTATTGATTTCAGAAGGGAAGGGAGAGAGAAAAAGAGATAGAAACATCCATGATGAGAGAGAATCATTGATCAGCTGCCTCCTGTACGCCCCCTGCTGGGGACTAAGCCTGCAACCCGGGCAGCCCTTGACCAGAATCAAACCCGCAACCCTTCAGTCTGCAGGTTGATGCTCTATCCACTGAGCCAAACTGGCTAGGGCTCCTTATTAGTTTTGAATGAATATTTTTGTTACACAAAATATCTAATGGACTCAACATTGTTATAAACATTTTTTGGGGTAGAAAATATTCCTTCTATTGCAAATGGAAGCAGCTACTATAGAAAGCAATATGGCCCCCGTGAGGTAGGGACGACCCCGGTCAGGTTGAAATGGCCCCGGTGTGGTAGGGACAACCCCGGTCAGGTTGAAACGGCCCCGGTGTGGTAGGGACGACCCCGGTGAGTTTGAAACGGCCCCCGTGAGGTAGGGACGACCCCGGTGAGGTTGAAACGGCCCCCGGTGAGTCGGGACGGTCCCTGGTGAAGGTTGGGACGGCCGCGTGAGGGGAGGGAGACCCCCGGGAAGGTTGAAACGACCCCCCAGCAGGTAGGGACGACCACCGGCGAGGTTGAAACGGCCCAGCGAGGTCGGGACTGTCCCCCGTGGAGGTGGAAACGGGCCTGCAGGAGTAGCGGCAAACCCCGCGTGAGTATTGAAATGCCCACATGAAGTAGGAAAGGCCCTTGTGTCTTTAAACCGCCCTTATGAGTTGAGTAATATCCCCACTGAGAGTAATACGGTCTCTGGAATTGGACAGGCCCCCGGTTGAGGTGGAGGGCGCCCCCGTGGTG